AATCCGGTAATATTAATATAAACCAAACCCGATCAAAGCAGTCAGTCGACAAAAATATCTATTTTTTATAAGGTTAGGATTATTCTGAAACAGAATCAGAGGGAGGGCGGCATTAATTAGAGAAGCGGCTACTATTTCAAAGTTATTGTACCTGTTGCAGGACACCTGATTTGTGCAACCACAGTAGAATGACCCAGAACAATACCACACACAATAACTGAAAAATATTTAGAGATATTGAAAGCTAAGCTTGTCCAGAAAAAAAATTTAATTTCTGGGTGCACAGGACCAGTTCCAGTGTGGGCCAGATGCTGAAAAATAAATTCATAAATCTGTCTTTTTTGAAGTTTCAAAAATCAGAGGAAGACTTCACAAATCACAAACTATGTTTTATGCATTCAGCTACGAGCCCAGAATAATCTAAAACAGGTTTGAAGAGTGCATGTGTTGTAGGTTTTGAGCTAGAGCAGAATAAAAATGGTCAGAGTAGAGAAAAATTGGGTGTATTAGCCCTTTAGCCATTTCCCGAATCGGAAGCTAACTTTAGCCTTGTATGAAAACTATAGTGATTGAAACCACTTACAAATCTCTGAAAATCTACGCTTTTTAATTAAAAAAGGGTATTAATAACGTTTCAGTCAAGTCAGTATTAGAAATCGTGGTCTTTATATCATATCTAAATTATATATAAAGTTAATATTATTACTTTAACTGTTTTAACAAACAGGGAGACCAGAAAAATCAAATAGCTAAGTTAAAGCTAAGCTACAATTGCTGATAGCTTTATTGATGTAGCTTTTGTGTTAGCTAGCTTGTGATCTCCCTGCATTCGTTTTAAGACTGCGTGTTAATATTGATACAATTAGCTATGAAACACGGTGCCTTTGCAATAATTCTCTGGTAAAGCTTTAAACGCTATAGTGCCTACATTTAAGAACTAAGAACGGTTGCAACAATTAGTTAATTTCATCCTTATCTTTCTTTCTTTATCTATCATCCTTATCCTTACCTTTACTCAATTGAAATCCGCCGAGTATGGTTGAAACAAAAACAACGTAGCGGCCGCCAAAAAAAGACCAACTTCCTGCCGAGGTCTTTCGCTCGTCGATTTTCCGGTAAAAGTAATGACACGTCATCTTGTTCTCGACACACCAGCTGATGTCTGCAGCCAGGTCCTACTCCCCTCTGGAACCGAAGCCGGTAGGAAAAGCAGCGGTTGCCGACCAGACCAGTCTGTGAGATACTTCTGGGTCACAACAGTTTGTTGGCATCTAGCAAGACCCAAAACGGGGTCATAATGGTTCAGCTTTTATTCTGAATGGAACCGTTGCAGCAGGTGGAACAGCAACAGATTTTATCCAGCTTGTCGTTGGTTCTTTTGGCTGAAGAGGAAAGTTACGGATTGGCCACTCCGACAATTTCTCTAGAACGCTTTGAACTGGCGTTAAAGATGACGTGGCATAGTTTTATACTTCGGATGTTTTGGTTTATGGTCGAATGAAAAAATGACAGATTTATCAAGCACCACCAAAACCACGCCTCCGTCAGATCTGGCAGATTCTGATTGGATGAGTAAAAGCAAATGTGTCATGTGGCTTCACCTTACGTGTGATCCGTCTCTAGTGGAAACATTTAAAGTTATATTACTTATTATATTCTGTAGGATTATAATAAAGTAATTAATATTTTCATTTCACAAATTGGTTCACATTTTATTATTGACTAACACTTTGTTTGATTAGCTTATTAAAAATAGAGTTCTTTGATTTATTAAAAATAAAGAGTCTTTTTCTTCATGCTTCTCTTGGGCTGGAAAGGAAAACAGTTTAGAAGCAAATGCATGAGACCCTGAACAATATCTCATGCAGATTAGTTCTTGCTGAGGAGAGGGGGGGGAAATGACTTTTAGGTGGAAAACAGTCATTTCATTCTGTTACAGAAGTCTTCCAGATCGGGTGAGGTGGACACAGTGAGATAGCGTCTACATGTGGTTTTGATAATAACAACTTTTTAGCTATTTGCAAACCAAATTGTTTCCATCCAGAACTCAGCTCTGAGAACAGAGATTCTGGATACGTTATATTCACACATAGGTTCCAGACTATCCTTTAGTTCGCATCCACTCACAGTAAATAGTAGTTTAAGCAATTTGTCAGGTCTTAATGGTTTGTAAAGTAAATTCTTATTTTGTTTATAAACCTGACTGTTTCTTGAATCAAAGCGAAGTGTGTACGATCCCTTAATGAATAAAAGAATCTTAGAATCTTCTGACTAAAACAATAAGACCAAGCAGGTGATATTCTAGTTAAATAGAGTATCGCCACTTATTGGTCACTAGTTGTGGTAACAATATAAATAGCTTTTCAAGCAATTTACGTAACCCAGTTTACCCTCTATTATCATTACAAAGATGAATCATTTTTTAAATGTATGGTATTCATACAGAAACAGACTCATGCATGCAAATGTAGAGTTGATAGTTTGATACTCCCTTGGTATTACGACTTACTGCAGGACAACGGAAGCAGCAGGGACACTACGTGTGTGCGGCTAGTGCTGCTGCAACAATTCATCAGTAGCCACAACTCATTTTAAGTGCAAGCATATGTTTCTGACTATAGCCGTGGTAATGAAGTCAATAGAGGGTAAATTGGATTAAACAAACTGCTTAAGAGCTGCTTATTTCTATTCTCATGACTTTGTGACCGATAGCTGTAATACTCTATTATTAGAGAGTATCACCTTGCTTGGTCTTAGGATGAATAATTAGAAGGTTCTAGGATTCTTTTAATTATTAAGGGATCGTCACACTTTGCTTTGATTCAAGAACCAGTCAGTGTTTGCAAACAAATAAGAATTTATTTTACAAACAATTTTAAGCCTTGACAAATGGTTTAAACTATTATTTACTGTGAGTGGATGCAAACTAAGAGATGGGTGTCTGGAACTAGGTATGAATTTAGTATTTCAGAGTCAAGGTCCCCGCATCTCAGAGAGAGGTGAGTTCTGGATAATAAAAGAATTTGGTTTGCATCTGAGCTGTAAGCTGTTCTTATCAAACTGCACACAGACGCTATCTCACTGTGTTCTACGTACCCAAGTGGAGACGCCCTTGCGGATCCGAGATGTCAGGGGGTTGGAGACCCCGGGTACAGAAGTCTAACTCCTAGTACGACCAGGTCGGTCCAGGATCGCTCCGGGCAACACAGGTGGACTGGATGAAACCAAGCGTCTCAAAACCACTCTGAAGGAGTGTTGCACAATCAGCTTTGTTCTGCAGGAAACATCTTTGCAGGTGCAAAAGCTTAAGGTATTGACAGTGTGTCAAAATGCTTTGGTAGCTCAGCTAAAGATGGCCAGTCTCAAAGCTCTGCTCTCCAACCCTCGTTCTGTTGGAGGTTCGAACTTGTCTCTCGGGTGGAAGCAGAGCGGCTGGTTTTATAGCCCGCTGTTTTCCTATTACCAACGTTATCAAGAATACTCAGAACACACACTCTGTGATGCAGAGCCGCTGAGTCTGCGAAACAAGGTTAGTTTATGTGTAATGCTTCTTAATTTAGCCTTACTTCTTGTCTGCTGTGAGTGACCTAATCCAGTAAACATACTTAGCATCATTGAACAGGTTCATGAAACATTTAATCATTTATAATTATACATGGCAATATTTAGTGATTATTAATTGTTAGATCTTCTTTTCTTCAAGGATTATTCTGAAATATAAAATGATGACTTATATTATGAAATATTCTTTTCTTCCGGGAATAAAAGTTTATTTTAGGAGTTCTCTTGTGAGGAACCTTGGGGAAAGGAACGCTACCGTTCATCTTTATTATCTGATGAAGCTTCGGTTCAGCTGATGAAGTCGTCTGATTAAAGAGCCCGCGTGCAGACGTTCCATCTCCTGTCAGGGTAAAATGCAGCAGAACGTGTGTAGCCAGGGTTATTTGCTCTGGCCGTGCATATGAACTGTGGGATCTCAAAATCAGTCCATTTGATGTCGTTACACAGTCATATTTTACATGAAATATTAACAGCTGTTTCCCTCCACACCACTAGTCTGTGCTGCGTACAACAGTCCAGTTCAGCTCCACTGTTTTTAAAAAGGGGAACATGTGGGAGTTTAAAGCTAACTACATAGAGTGTTTTTGTTTGTTTGTTATGTCAGCATACACAAAAAAATGGTAATGACTCAGTCAGTTTCACAGATATCGAGCTAACGTTTGGTGTGGAAAACACCCAAAACAGGGCTGGAGGGCCACTCCCCAGCATGCTTTAGCGGTTTCCCTGCTCCAAAACACCTGATTCAACGGCCCAGTCCCAATACCCACACTGCAGCCTCCTCTGAAGTGCACTTGGTGGAAGTGTGTGTAAGGCTTTGAGTACTTTGTGTAAACAAGTGTGCAATAATTGCAGAAATGGGACAGTGAGCATCAACCGCAACTTCCCTAAATGGGGATGCTGGTCGATGTTTGTGCTAACGTAGTACTGGAAATTATATTAAAACCAACTGATATGAAAACAAGTGATTACATTACTGGCATGTTGGTTCCAAAAAGACGCACCAGTACCATTATCAGTTAAAAGCATTTTTCAGCAAAGTAATGCTTCTTTCCAGCAGACCAACATTTGAGTAATCATAAATGCACAAAATAATAAAATATTCAATATATAGAAATATTTTCTGTCATTTATCTGCCTTCTTCTCAAAATTCCCATGCAGTAATTGATTGTGGATAATAGATTGGTACAGGCTTTGGTGAAGTGCAAATAAAAGGGTCCAAAATGGGGGAGGGGCATGGTCCACACTTGCGAATCGGGACGCCCTACGCACTCGCACCCCTAGATGGGAACGTGCAATTGGTAGGCCCAAGCGTGGATCGAACTTACTGACCATAATTATGCACAAAACCACAGTTTTATTTAAAGAAAGTAGAAAAACGTAGGCTAATTTAAGCCATATCATGTTCTGACTGCGGGTTTTACTCCCTTGTCTGTTTCAGACTTGCAGGACTTTAGAGTAGATAGCCGAGAGAGGAGGGTGTCTGAGGGGCGGGAGCGGCGAGTATCGGATGGACGTGAGCCAGAAACACTGGACGGCTTGGAGCAGCTTTATCGGGCCCTTGAGCAAGCCAACGTGACGCCTCTAGGAGACCCCAAACCCTGTAGCAAGCAGGAGCTTCGACGCTGTTTCATCCAAAGAACCAGGGACCCCCTGCTGAACGACCGGCTGCACCGGGTCCGAGCCCTTCGCAGCACTTTGAAGGTACCACAGCTGACTTTCTCAGATTTTATACCCAAAGCAATAAGCAAAATGGATTTTTCGTCGGACCTTCCTGGTGTCTGTCTGTCCCTTTCAGGCCAAAGAGTCTGAGCTGGCAGTAGTCTGCGCCCTCCTGGAGGACCCGGGCCTGTGCTCCCAGACCTTCAGAGAGTGGAAACTGTGGCACAGCGAGCTGTACTCTGACATCTGCCAGCTCAGCCCCGGCACCAACGGCCAGGACGACCTCTCCCCGCTGGCCGCGCCGCTCATGACCCACACACACTCCTTCATTGAGACGCATGTGTGAGAAAAAAGAAAAGGAACTGAACTGATACGCATACACAAACACCGAGTCACACACACACCAATCCCCTATTTTCTGATCACGACGCTCAGTGCACACACACACACACACACACACACACACACACACACACACACACACACACACACACACACACACAGGAACATTGTAAGATGTGTAAATATCAACAAGGGAATGGTCTGAGACATGGGTGTATGAACCTTTGATCATCTCGAGGACCCCACAGGGTGCCTACTGCATGCCTGAACTGAAAGCATTAATCTTCCGTTGTCCACGCGCTTGTCGAGCAAAACAGGAAAAAAAAGGAGACATTTGAAAATATTTCTTTTCATTCTCTTAGCTTTTCGTTGATTTCCGGGGGCAGGGGGAGCTATGTAGCAGCAATACAGAGGAGAACCCTTTTCACCACAGCACTGTACTTTTGTACCGATGAACTTTGCACCCAGAGCCACCAGTTCTCCCCCTTTCTCTCTTTTTATTTTCATTCTGAGCCTCTAGACTCACAGGGACCTCACTGTTAAAGCAGACTGTGAGCGGTAGCTGCTTCTCTGGGAGCCCATGACATGTAAATGTCACTAAGGCGTGGAACTGTCCCGGCCGCGTGCACACTCTTCTAAACTGTGAAGTGTTCAGAAGTCCCCCTTGACCTGCAGAAGGAGGCTTCTCTTGGTTTTCTCCCTGCCATCCTTCTCTTTTGTTTCGTTACCTCCTTCTGTCCTCAGAGACTTGTGCATATGTGTATACTGATGTAAATGTTTCATTACCACTGTGATATGCTTCTCTAGAGGTAGCGAAGAGAAGATGGAGAGTTTGTGTGGGTGGAAGACCGTTCTCTTCTTCCTTTCTTTAAAAACGAGTTCCTTTAACAGTGAATGCAAACGTTTGTTCTAAAGGAGTCGCTCACTACAAAGAATGCACTTTCTATATTATCTCTATATGTCATCGGCTGCATCACAGGGCGCCTCTCACTGGACCGCCCTCCCATCGCTCTTCAAATATCAGGTAAAATGCATTTGCCGTCCCATTTTCTAAAGATTTGTGTACAGTCTACAGATATATTTAAACATAGAAGAATATATAAATCTATTTGCGTTTTTGTGTCATAGATATATTGTAAAGTATGATGTATTCTATGCCAAGGTTTCGCAGCGTCCCCCTCCTCACTCTGTAGATGCAGGGTGCTCAGCAGCTGAACAGGAAGCAAACGACGACCTCTGACACCTGAGTGCTGCGGTTTAGTCTCCTGCTGCATGAGGAGTAGGCTCTGGGACGGGTTTGAATGGACAGGGTAAAATACTGTGGATCATTTCTGTCATTTTCTTTCCACGTTCTTCATGATCACAAGGTGTGTAGCGCATGCAAAAGTGCTGTTGAAGACCACCTTTCTCTACTTTCACAGGTACAAAGTCTTCTGTTCACTCTGTGGTGTTTCTGACACACACTGTACAACTGAGAGGTGATTCGTTTTCCCGCTCGCTTCTTTGAACTAATGCAGATTTTTAGTTAGCCTTCAGGCGGTTTCAGTTTGTTGTGTGAACGTCCATCCGTAGAGACGCAAGTGCGGTTACCTCTAAAGTGAGGGCCGGTGTGCTAGGTTGTGGAGCTCTGCTGTACACTAAAGCTTGGTTTATGCTTGACGCATTCACTTTCCACGCGGTGATGCGGCTCGCGGCTGGAACGCGCTTCACAACTCGCAGCGTTTATGGTTCGTGCGGCTTGTCTCTGCGGTGAGCCAATATTCTCCCAAACTGTAGGGGGCAGCATGGAGCTCTACGGCATGCATCCAACACTACACCATAGTAGAAGTAGAAATGACTGTTAACAACATGGCATTTCAGCATTTTTAACAGCGTCCTCGTCTTTTCCGACAGTGCGAGCTATTTCTCTCCAAGAATTATTAACAACATGTTGATCACGGTGATCTCTGAGAGCTGAATCATACAAATGTCTGTATTTACGAACCTCTGCCGTGCCGGTCCGCCATGTTTTTCCGCGTCCGACCGTCCGCGTGGTTAGAAATTTTCCGAGGTGCGCGTTGCGGAAATCTTGGGCCGTGCGGAGACGCGGTGGAGGGGCGTGGTTGTTAAAATGACGCAAAATGACGCAACTTTTCCGCGCGGAGCCGTGCGGACCTCGCGGACGCGTCAAGCATAAACCAACCTTAAATGGTCTGCAATGCCTTTGAAGCTCATTTCATCCGCGACACCGGGGACTCGACGCCGTCCCCTAGTGTCCAAGTCTCTGAGAGGCGTGTAGCAACCTGCGGCATCCAGCAACACCTCTCCACGCCGATTCTTTGTGCTTTTCCATCCATCTTGAGTAGATTTCTTTCCACGTCACTGAGGTGAAATTTCAGAACACGTCACAAACATTTCGTTTTCGGTGGTTCATTTGAAGATATGACTCGAAAATAGAAACTAAATGATGCAAGCACTTTTCCCGTGCCTCCCGGTTCTCTCATTGGAAGCGAAGAACTCTGGTGTTCCTACACACACACACACACACACACACACACACACACACACACACACACACACACTCAGCTGTTACAGAGTTTTAATGCAGTTCTAGTCTGCAGGCCTCTCTGCTTGATCTTGTTTGTATTTCACCTCCTGCTCAGCTGCGCAGGCAGCATACTGTAGATTCAAAGGGGTTTAAGTTGTAGGCACTGACTGTGTTACCCTTCCTAGATTTGTATTTATTATTTTGATTATTATCTGACTGGTTTGAAATTGTGTAGACCTGCAGAAACAGTACGAAAAAGGGAGATTCCACTGTGTTTCTTTCAGGGGTGTACACCTCATGGTACATTGCACAGCTGTGTAAGACGTAAGTTGCACTGCGACATTAAAAAAAGGAACATATTGCTCTTTTTCAAGGATAAGATTAGCTTATGTACATTCAACTGACTAAAGATGATGTTAAAAAAAGAAAATTACATTTATTCTTCCTAAAGTAGCCTTTTTTGGTTTCATATATATGAATATATATAAATATAAATATATATATATTACAAAAAATACAGATTGTAAACTTAAGTTGTTAAACTTTGACTTCAATAAACTGAATCCTCTGCACTATGACTGGTTTTCTCTGAATGTTTTTTCTGATTAACATATTTAATCATGCAAAGTGCCTTTAGGAACAACACTGAACAAAAAGTAAATGCATGGTGTGTGTTGTTGACTCCTGGTCCACCAGGACATCTGGGAATCCACGTTGTTCCGTCTCTCAGTAACAGCTTCGACATAAACACAGCTTATCTACATCCAAGACTTCCAGGTTCATTCAGCTGCTTTATTATCACTGCCAGTGATGAAATATTCTCTTTTCCCTCCACCTTGTAGAGATAAAAAGTCTCGAGTCTGCCCTCATTTCTTCATGTTTTGCCTCATAAAAACCATCTATCCATCTTTCAGGCGCGTGTCTGGGGTCAGGTCGCGGGGGCAGCAGCCTAAGAAGGGAGGTCCAGACGTCCCTCTCCCCAGCCACCTGGGCCAGCTCCTCCCGGGAATCTTGAGGAGTTCCCTGGCCAGCCGAGAGTCTTAAGCCTGATTCATGCTTCTCCGTCAGCTCCAACAGGGAGAGACACGCACGCACGGACAGACGTTTTGCTCTCATACTTCTCCGTCTCCTGGCGAGCGTTGCAAAGCAATTCCCCGCCAGGACAGCAGAGGGCGTAGCGCTGTTCTGTGGTATCCTGTCATGTATCGGTCCAAGATAGTGTGTTTATATTGTGTTTTTTGTATATAAGAGACTTTTTAACACGTACAAATTTGTCTCTCATCCTCCTCCACCTCTTCATGCGCTCGCCACCTCTAAACCCACGTTTCCTGTCATTTCCATCCACAAATAAAACGCTTGCTGCGCATCTTTTCACTCCTCCAGTCACGGGAAATTAAACGTTCATATTTTAGAGTTTTTTCGCGAGGTATTCTTCAAGCTGCTCTGTGTCTGGCGCTAGTTATCCTCAGCTCTCTTTATGTTTTTGAGGGCGCAATGGCGGCGCTGTAGACGTCAGCGGCGCCCTGACCAATCACAAGCTTGCGTTCTCCGTCTCGACGGACGGATGTTTAGAAAAGAGAGCTCAACTCCGTACGTCCTTGCGGGGCTCTCCAGCAGGCCCGCAAGGACGGATAATGGTGTTGCGTGTCTCCGCGCTGACGCAGACGCAGACGCATAAATCAGGCTTAAGTCTCTCCACCGTGTCCTGGGTCTTCCCTTGGGTCTTCTCCCAGTTGGATGTGCCCGGAAAACCTCACCAGTGAGGCGTCCAGGAGGCATTCCAACTTGATGTCCGAGCCACCTCAACTGGCTCCTGTCGATGTGGAGGAGCAGCGGGTCTACTCCAAGCCCCTCCCGGATGACTGAGCATCTCACCCTATCTCTATCCCAGCCACTCTTCGGAGAAAATTCATTTTGACCACTTGTATCTGCGATCTCGTTCTTTCGGTCACTACCCAAAGCTCATGACCATAGGTGAGGGTAGGAACGTAGATCGACCGGTAAATCGAGAGCTTTGCCTTCTGGCACAGTTCTCTCTTCACCACGACAGACCGGTACAACGCCTGCATCACTACAGATGCAGCACCAATCCGTCTATCATTCTGCTCCAGCTTTCCCTCACTCGTGAACAAGACCCCTGACCTCGTAGGACCTCACCTGAGAAGGCATTCTACCAGTTTCCAACTCAAGAAAATGGCCTCGGATTTAGAGGAGCTGCTTCACACTCCGCTGCAAACCGCTCCAGTGAGAGCCGGAGATCACGTTCTGATGAAGCTGACAGGACCACATCATCTGCAAAAAGCAGAGACTCAATCCTCAGGCCACCAAAATGAATCCCTTCAACACCTTGGCTGCGCCTAGAAATCCTGTCCATAAAGGTTATGCACAGAATCGGTGGCAAAGGGCAGCCTTGGCAGAATCCATCTCTCAGTGGGAACGAGCTCGACTTATACTGGCAACGCGGTCCAAGCTCTGACACCGGTCATACAGGGACCTAACAGCCCGTATCAAAGAGCCTGGTGCCCCATACTTCTGAAGTGCCCCCCTATAGGGCCCCCCGAGGGACGCGGTCGAACCAAGCCCCCATAATTCGGGTCTGAAAGTGAAGCCAACACAGAAGTACTAAAAATTGCAGTTCCACCCTCATCCACTAGGGGCTGGTGTCAGAAGCGAGCAAATCCTCATTGACTCCCATGTTAAAAATAACAATTTCACAGCAGAAATAAACATGTTTACAGCCTGGCTCCAAAACATGTTTTAGGTTTAAATGATCTAGTTTACACTCATGACAACTCTGAGGGGGGTGAATTTTTTCTCACTCTTCTGTTTAAGTGTATCAAAAGCCTAAAATTCTGAATAATTAATGAGCATCAGACCCACGTGACCACAGAGCTAGCTCCATGGAAAGGCCTCAGTAGAGTCTCTGTCTGGCCTGGAAACTGTTTCGGGATTTTCAGTCTCTCAACTTAGACCATTAGTTGTAGCGTTTGTGCGTTCTTTTTTGGATATTATTTGTGCAATTGTTGGACAAAATGACTTGCTGTGGCATTAATTGCACTAATAGAGCGTCCAAGGAGTCTCCACTTCATTTTTTCGGTAAGTAAAATTATATTTATGTATTTTAGGTCACTGCCGAGCTGAGCTTAGATTTTAACATGTTCTGTTTAACCATGAAATTTAAATGTAATAGGGTAAAACCCAGTGCATTTAACATAATGCTGCATTTTAGAAAATGGGTTGAAATATAACATGTTGGTGGAGCTGGGTTCCCACTATCAGCTTGTGGAGGTCTCGGGAGACCGATGTTTTCCACCCGGTTCACCCAGCAGTCAGCCCGGCGTATCTCTGACTCAGAAGCTCTGGTGTTGTGCACAGTTAACTCTGGTTGTAGCTAGGTAGCTACCTCCGTTAGCTTAGCTCCCACCTCCGCGTTAGCTTGTAGCTACATCGCTTCAGTTCAACAGGTGTCGTCATTTGATCCCAGCCTTACAACCCCACCCTCAGCTCCACCTCTCTTCCCTTTTTTGGAATTGTCTGGGCTTGAAGCAACCTGTGACACGGTCAAAATGGTGGTGGTGGCCACCTCCCATTTTGGCTTAAAAACGTATTACTGGAGCCTATTGTCCAGTATATATGTCAATGGGTCGAAGACTTTCTCCAAATCTAAAAAACACATGTAGACTGGTTGGGCAAACTCCCACCCACCATCCAAGACTCCCCTATAGAGCCGGTCCAGTGTTGCACGGCCAGGATGAAAACCACATTGCTCCTCCTCAATCTGAAGTTCAACAATCCAGTGAACCTTCCTCTCCAGAACCCTCATAAAATCCTGATTTATTTAAATATTTGTTCAAAGGAAATAGATTAAACATTCTTTGGACTTCTGGATTTTAGAATAGTTTTCAGTATTTATGTGCAAGAAAAAAAACATCCTCTCATCTGTCATTGCAAACTGTGCATCTTAGATTTTCAGTAACTCACATTTTAATAAGTTTAATTATTTGGTTGCTCGCTTTAAAATGAGCAACAGTTAATATTTAACTGATTTTCTCCACATGTGTTCACTTATACAAGCACTACAGTCAGACAGCTAATTTGTGTCAGATGCACGAAGGCCCGGCCTAGTTAAAGAGCATGTGGTTGCACCAAGTTTATGAAACAGATTGTGTGCAACATATGACTCATCTTTTTTGGCCTTCATTTCAAATAGAGTATGAGATTTCAACCATTCAGTTGCAAATTTTATATAAAAAGTTTTTGATTGGTTTTCCGGATTTAACTTTATTTACTTAATTTGAATCCCCTTGCTCAAATTGAGTTGTTTTGCAATAAACACGCGCGCGCACACACACACGCACACACACACCGAGTGCGTGCTGCAGTAGCGCCCTCTGACCACCAGAGGGCGGACGCTGACCGTGATTGAGACCCGTTGAAGTTGCGCAGCAAAGGAAAGGAGAAGAAGAAGAGCACTGTCATGGCGGCCAAGGTGAATGTTTAACATTTTAGTTTTGACCCGTTTGAATCTGTTAAACAGCGTATTTGTGATAAATGCATGACCTCTCTGTTTACGTGCACGTTTCTGAAGACGTGAACGAGTGTTTTAAGGGCTGCCACGCGCTGCTTAAGTTCCGCTAAACGTGGTAAATGTAGCATAAAACCGACCTAATAATCAGTCATTTAAACATTTAATAACTATGTGTGTTCGTACTTGGTAAACTTCTTAACATTAGCTGGTTAGCGGCAGCTGCGGCTGCAACGTTCAGTAAATAGGAGAGTTTTAACAGTATTTTCAGCCCCTGTTGCCTTTAAAACGAGTGATTTTAAACAACTGAAGGTATTTGGTGGCATTGATCTGACGTCTGTGGCTAATTCAAGTCACTCAAATCAAACGTGTCACTAGATCAATTAATTGGGACTTCAGGCTGAAGAATTAGGTTACTTTACCCGACCAAAACAGCGGAAACTAGTGATTATCCCAAGTTTCATGTAGGTGACTAATCAACACGGTTAAAGGTGATAAGCGCAGGTGATTTGTGTTATTACAGGAGAAGCTGCTGGGGGCTTATCTTTTTGGTGCATATGAGGAAAATGGTGCGTTATGTGCAATAATTATAATATATTTGTTCCAAGCCAATACACTGGTGTGAAATAGTTCTGTTTTAAGTGAGATATTGTGGTGGTAGTATTCCAAAGTGTTGCATGTTAATATGTTTACCATGCAATTAAATCTAGGGTCTAATTAAAAACATCACAGGCAGCAAACGCTTTGGTTCTGAAACAGGCAGAGCAATTTATAAACACTTCAATTTAATTTCTAGGTGAAACAGTTAGTCTCCAAGAGACATTTGTTATCATTAAGGCTCCACTTCTGGCTTTTTCATGAACATTCTTTAAAAATATCACAACACCCTTACTGAGCCACTAGTGTGTGATGGTGTTTACATCAACATACAAAACAGGAACACTTAATTATTTTCTACTTCTACACAATCAAAGTCTGATGGTGGCTGGATCGGGTTAAAGAAACTAGAAATGGATAGACGGATGTAATAAATGACTCACTGGTTGCATTTGAGCACAAAATGATATTTGTCCAGGAAAATCTGCTGTTGGATTGTTTCTAAAAATCTCTCTTCAGTCGAGTAAAGCAGTTTTTTATTTATCTTCACTTTTCTGTAGCGGCGTAGACTGGACTTAAATGTGTTGAACACCGAAAACACATTTTTAATGCATTCTGATAATAATTGGTCACTTTTGAGTTTTTCACGCAGGCTGAACGTGAAAATAGTCTCCTACACCTAGGGTTGGGCATCCAGAATCGAGCATCGATTGGAACCGGTTAGCCTGGCCTGCCAGACTCCTCCTCTGTTTAACTCTGCACAGAGAAAGAGTCTGTCAGCTCTCCTATTCAAAAAGCCCCGCCCCCTGAGAATTGTTACCGAGCCAATCAGCGCTGAGTATCGTACGCCACACCACAACGCCGAGTTTGTCATAAACGTGGTGACTGAAGCGGAGTTCGCTGCGGCTCTTTCCTCTGTCCTAAATGACTTGAACATGTCTTTACAACCACAACAAGTAGACGCGCTGAAAGCCTTTCTGCTAAACAAAGATGTTAGCGCTGTCGCCAGACTCCATTTTTACTACAGCTAAAGAAACTACAGCGTCGCCGACGTCACACACAGCGGCGCTCAGTTTCTCATAAACAACGAAGACACTTTCCTCTGTTCTAATGACTCAAATGTCTTTAAAACCACAAGTAGAAGCTCTAAAAGCATTTGTGCCGTTGCCAGACGCTATGTTTTACTACAACTAGAAAACTACCGCGTCGTGATTTCCATCTTTTTTCTGATTGGTCATTTTTGAACTGCCTAGTCCCGCCCCTCAAGTGCCTCTCTGCCTGTGAGTTACCAGACTCATTCTCTGTGCAGAATTAAATGGGCCATTCCCATCTGTACCGGGTCGGCCCGGGCCGGGTAGCCCCAGTCGGCCCCAGCCTGGCCCGGTTGATTCCACACATCCTTGCCTTAAGCCCATGTGGGCTGATTCTACCCACCAATCAGAGGCTTGCTCTAATGGAAGGTGTGAATTTGCTGTCAGCAGTGGGTGTGTTGGCCCTGGTCGGCCTGAAGCAGACCCCCTCGAGAAGAGGGCTGAGAATGAGCCTTGGTTGGCCCGGAAAAATACCAGGCCACCCAGATATGTAAACAACCTACGCTACCCGGCCCGGGCCGACCCGGTACAGATGGGAATGGCCCTAAACAGAGGACGAGTCTGGCCGGCCAGGCTAGGATCCGGTTCCAGCTGTTCATTTTTCCCGGAATCGCTCAACGTTTTATATTTCGATTCCTAGTTTTAATTCCTAGTGTGCCGACGGAAGAGGAATCCGCGGCCGATCTCCGTGAAAAATAAACGTGATCTGCAAATTGTGATCAACGCTTTTCAGAGCTGATCACACCAGCTGTCCGTGTGCAGCACCGAGTTCATCGTCGAGCTTCCAAAAAGAAGTTCAAGTGAGAAAAGATCCGTTTAAGCTGTTCCAGACAGAAAATAGATCCACGTTAGACAACAAACTAAAATCCAAATGTACAGACAGCGTCTCAGTTACACACTTGAAACACATTTGAAGCATTTATTTATTTGTTCATTCATTCACTCACTCATTCATGCAGTCATTCATTCATTCAGTCATTCATTCATGTATTCACATAGAACAAGAATATGTGGTTTAAATACAACAGCACAAAGACAAGTGTGTGTGTGTGTGTGTGTGTGTGTGTGTGTGTGTGTGTGGTATAATGTTTCCCGTTTCATTTTTATCTTCTTAAAAATGTTGTCGTCACCTAAACTTTGACCTCTTCAAAACAAAACCGCTGACAGAAAGAGTAGCTTTCTACTGTGAATTAAAACTCCCTCAGAGGGGAAATAACCTTCCTGATCAGAGGAAAGTTCACGTTTTTATTATTCGTACCCAAAAGCACGACGAGGTGACTTTAGTCCCCAGAGCGAGACAGCAGGCGTGTGAACATAGCCAGGTTCTTTGTCTTCAGACGTGTTCAGTTAGAAAAAAGATGAATAAACAGTCATTAATGTTTCTTGTAGGGAAAACGCTACTGACCATGTGCAGGATGGCACGACTTTTGCTTGTTTCTGATTGGAGAAGTTGCCCCCTGTCACATGTAACCCCCCCCCCACCCCCCCGAGGGTCCACACGAGTCCCCTCTCCTTCCCTGATCACGTTCAGTCCCCATGACTGCTGCTTCCAGCTCACAGTTAGAGATGGTTGTGTTTGATCTTTCACCAGGTGGTGATGGTGGCCGTCCCGACGGTGCTGGGAATAGCCTCCATCCGTGTGAAAACCAGGAACCAAGTCCCGGCTGATGGGCTGGTGTCGAGAGAAGGGGTACGGCTCGCCTGCAGCATCGGTGGAAGATGGTACGGCTGAGTTTCACTCTCTTAACTCACCCTGACCCCGTCTCTGTCTGCAGCTGAGCATCTACGCCCCGCTGCCAGAGTCTGCCCCTGCTAGATTCTTCCCAGAGAGTCCAGGAGGGATAGAGAGAGGCTTAACTACGGCTAGAGAGGGCGTGCTCCCGTTGGTCCAAGCTGTGAAGGTACAGCACAAGCAGCAAACCACTGTTCTTGAAATAAAACCGCCCAGAGCTCAGAAACAACGTAGGACTCTTTTGCACCTGCAGCCTTGATTATTGGTTTGTTCCTCTTGTCTGCGGTCACAGAGCACAATCCCACGAGCTGCAAGAGCTCGGTGCAGGTACCGTGTTGCAAAGCGCTTCAGGAGTTTGACAGGAAGCGGCGTTGCTGCAGTTAGCCTCGCAGCTGTGCGCTCGCTTTACAGCAGGGAGATTTGACAGTTTGATAGTGTGAAAGGAGGCGAGAGACGCGCCCAACAGTGGCTGTGATGTGTAGTTTTCAGTGTTGTGTCGTTGATAACCTTTTGAAGTGGGTTGAGGGCTGTGCTTTGTTCCACGCAGGGTGCCTGCGTCTCTGTGAAAAGGGGATGGGTCCATCTGTACCATGTAGGAGAGGGTGAGTGAACTGGAGGCACACAGACATCACAAGCTGCAGGCCGCTTCCCCGGGTCCCGATGGCTTGTTAGTTCAAAACTGACGTGAAGAAGGATGTTTGTCCGATTGTTAACGATGTGTTCCCCTTTTGCCTTTTTCAGATGCATATTACTACCTAACAGACCCTCCTCCAGGGTTTCTACCCAGATTAGGTACCATCACCATGGCCGGCCTGCTGGGCATGTTCCTGGCTCGGAAAGGTACCGCGGTGAAATATAATAGTATTATAGTAGTAGTAGTAGTAGTAGTTCTAGTAGGAAATATAAGGAGTAGTATAGCAGTACACTTTATTCACGTTGAATGAGCCGGATGAACATTAACTAGTCATAAGTAGGACTCGGTGATGTGGCTTAAAATCAATATTATGCATGCAACAAAAACAAAAGTTGTCCACTAGATGGGGCTGTAGCGTACAGTGCTCAGCATAAATGAGTACACCCCTTTAAAAAGTACACATTAGCTCAATGAACAAAAGAACAATTTCCAGAATGTTCCCAATGCTGGCCACGTCAAATTAAGGTTAATAACATAACTTAGATCACAAAATCTCCAGTTTTACTAAAACTGGTTGAAGCCAACATGAAAACACCCCACAACCACTACATCTAGTGTTTTGTATGACCATCATGACTTTCAAGGACAGCACCAAGACTTCTAGGCATGGAAGGAACCAGTTGGCGACATATTGCAACATCTATCTTTTACCGTGGCTCTTTTAGAGCCTGGATGTTGGATGGAGAGTGATGCTCAAGCGATGCTTCAGAGTTCCCCACAGGTGTTGGATTGGGTTCAGATCAGGAGACATACTTGAGCATTCAATCACCGTCACCCTGTTCTTCAGAAATGCAGCAGTAGCTCTAGATGTGTGTTTTGGATCATTGTCATGTTGGAGAAGTGCACGGCGACCAGGTGCACGGAGTGATGGCAGCATCTTCTCTTCGAGTACAGAACAGTACATTGTTGCGTTCGTGATACCATCAATGAAGCACAGCTCCCCAACATCAGCAGCCCCACATGAGGACACCGCCACCACCGTGTTTTACTGCAGGCACCATGCATTTCTCTTTGGAATCCTCAGCTTTACGACACCATACAGTTTAGAAACTATTAGTTCCAAAAACGGTGATCTTTGTCTCATCACTCCAAAGTAGAGTCTCAGTAGTCTTCATCTCTTTCAGCATGGGCCCGGGCAAATCCTAGGTGTGCTTTTTTTGTCTGTGGGCTTTCCTTCCTGGACGATACCCATGCATGCCGTTCCTCTGCAGTGTGCACCGTGTGGTGTCACGGGAAACAAGTCACTCCAGTTTGGCTCTCTACTGCTTTAGCTAACTGCAGTGAACTTGCATGGTGATTTGCTTCCACCCTTCTCATCAGAAGATGCTCCTGTCCAGATGTTAACTTCCATAGACGGTCTGGACATCTCCTGTAAGATGGTTGCACTTCCATCTCTCTTAAATGGTTGGATGACTTTTGCTACATTAATTTGACTGATATGTAAGTTTTGCTGATCTTCTTGTAGCCCTCACCTTTTATGTGTCAAGAAATGATTTCCTTTCTCAGACTTTGTGACATTTCTCTTCCATGTGGAGCCACTGCTGACAGCATCAAATGGGAAGAGCTTTTCTTTAAGTAACGCCCTTTTCTAGTCACCTGTCTGCTGGACACCTCTTAAAGGAATCATTAGACTCACCTGTGGTTGAATTCCTGTTCATTTAAAATGCGTAATCTTAAGTATGGCTTTTCTCCTAAGACTATAATCGGGGTGTACTCATTTTTGCAACATAGCCTTGCGTTTGTTAGGAAAATCACTTTTTTGTGTTTGCACATGAACAAATGTTTGTAATCAACGGCCCACGTTTGTGGGAGTATTTAGTTGTGTGGTATCCCGTAGAAAAGGTTGATTCTGGAAGGAAACTAGTTTTCTGACAAAAGTAGTAGGGTGTACTCATTTATGCTGAACGCTGCGACATGAGGTGGTCCAGCTTCTTAAAGGGACATGAATGACCAAGGGTGGTTATCAAATTTATTGACATGAGAAAAATTATATCGGTTCAGAAATTTCGATAATGGTAAAATATGGACCTATCGCCCAGCCCTAGTCATAAAATAATACTACGGAGACCAATGACGTTGATTAGTACCCGTATATATGGAGCCCAGACAGGGCCAGAATGTTTTAAGAATTTAAAAAAGTTTGAAACAAAAATATAAATTTATTTTACAATTGGAAAAACCAAAAACCGTATTCAAAGTAAAATAAAGTCAACTTGTTTTTCCTCCAACTTGAAAAATGTCTTTCAGTTTTGTAAAAAGCTTTTTTTTTACTTAATTTTTTGTTTCAGTTTCAGATTTTATGTTTTAGATTCAAAACGGTTTTAAGTTGAAATACATGTACCGTGCATCGGGAAAGTACTCATAACTCTTTTGTTTATGTTACAGCCTCATTCCAAAACACATTAAATTCATTTTGCGTATAAAATTCAACACACAACACCCCATAATGATAATGTGAAAAACGTGTCTTTGAAGTTGTTACAAATTTATTAGAAATAAAAAAACTTGAGAAATCACATGTACATAAGTATTCACAGCCTGTACTCTGCCTGTACTTTGTTGATTCTCCTTTGGCAGCAATTACGGCCTCTAGCCATTTTGGATATGATGCCACAAGCGTGCCACACCTGTCTTTGGGCAGTTTTGCCCGTCCCTCTTGCAAGTACCTCTCGAGCTCCATCAGGTTGGATGGACACGCGTCGGTGTACAGCCATTTTTAGATCTCTCCAGAGATGTTCAATGGGGTTCAGGTCTGGGCTCTGGCCGGGCCACTCAAGGACATTCACCGAGTTGTTCTGTAGCCACTCCTTCCATGTCTTGGCTGTGTGCTTAGGGTCGTTGTCCTGCTGGAAGGTCAACCGTCGCCCCAGTCTGAGGTCAAGAGCGCTTTGGAGCAGGTTTTCATCCTGGATGTCTCTGTATGTTGCTGCAGTCATCTTTCACTCTATCCTGACTAGTCTTCCAGTACCTGCTGCTGAAAAACATGCCCACATCATGATGCTGCCACCACCATGCTTCACTGTATGGATGGTATCGGCCTGGTGATGAGCGGTGCCTGGTTTTCTCCAAACGTAACGCCTGGCATTCACTCATCAGACCAGAGGATTTTGTTTCTCACGGTCTGAGAGTCCCTAAGGTGTCTTTTAGCAAACTCCAGGCGAGCTCCCATGTGCCTTTTACTAAGGAGAGGCTTCCGTCAGGCCGCTCTACCACACAGGCCTGATTGGTGGATTGCTGCAGAGATGGTTGTCCTGCTGGAAGGTTCTCCTCTCTCCACAGAGGACCGATGGAGCTCTGACAAAGTGACCATCGGGTTATTGGTTGCCTCCATGACCAAGGAGCTTCTCCCCGTTCACTCAGCTTAGAAGGTCGGCCAGCTCTAGGAAGAGTCTTGGTGGTTCTGAACTTCTTCCACTTACAGATGATGGAGGCCACTGTGCTCATGGGAACCTTTAAAGCAGCAGAAATGTTGCTGCAATCTTCCCTAGCTGTCTCGGAGGGCTACGCTCATTTCCTTTGCCTTCATGCTTGGTTTGTGCTTTGACATGCACCGTCAAGCCAGGTGTGTGCTTTTCCAAATCATGTCCAATCAACTTAATTTGCCACAGCTGGACTCCAGTTGACGTGCTGAAACACCTCAAGGATGATCAGTGGGAACAGAATGCACCTCCGCTCCGGGCTGTGAATACTTCTGTACATGGGATTTCTCACGGTTTCTATTTTTAATAAATTTGTAACAACTTCAAATACTCTTTTTCACATCATTATGGGGTGTTGTGTGTTGAATTTTATAGGCAAAATGAATTTAATCCGTTTTGGAATGAGGCTGTAACATAAACAAAAAAGTGGAATAAGTGAAGCGCTATGAATACGTCCCGGATCTACTGTTGGACTGAGTTTATATCCATCAGTTTACTAATCGAATCAAACAAACTCGGTTTTGTTTTAAGCTGACCCGTTAGGTGTGGACCACTGCTGTCTAAATGTAAAGTTGTGTTTCAGGCTCTCGCTTCAAGAGGCTGGTCGTTCCTGTGGGTCTGATCGGCGCCGGAGCGTCGGTGTGCTACCCGGCTCAAGCTGTGGCTGTGCTTAAGGTGACGCCAGTCGCTGATATCCTCTCTAAAAGATGTCGGTATTCCGGGTTCGATCCTTGTGCTGTTCTCTGAAGGTGACGGGTAAGAGCACGTACTCTGCAGCTCAGTGGAGCAGCTCTGCTTTGTCTTCGTTGCTGTCCACCTCCAAACCTGCTGCTGCTGGAGAGACGCCACACACACAGGTAAAGGATGGGGTGTCACACACACACACACACACACACACACACACACACGCACACCGTTCAATCTCCTCCCGGAATTTACCCTGAGGTTCTGACACCTGCTGAGTTTAAAACACCTCTCCCACAGCATGATGCTGCTACCCCCGTGCTTCACTGTGTGATTATGAGGTTTAGACCACAGCTGGCCCAAGGCCACTTTAATAAATGGCTTTATCAGATCCATATCTGACTTTCCTCTTGTTGCCTGAAAGCTGGTCACTTCTCGTCTCCATCACCGATGATGGGTTGGCGGTTTAGGACAGATCACACTGGTTACGCACGCACGCACACACACACACACACAAAACAAAAGCCCTTTCAGAGTTAGTGACTCAAACAAAAACACAAGTTCGGTCTGTCAGAAGCACAGCTAGCTTCCTACTTACTAATATCCTCTCTTTACATATTTGACTCACTCCTGAGAAATCCCCTTCACGTCTCCATCTTATGTGGTGTGATCCCGGTTCCTGTCCTAGCACGTTGCCCTTTACCATCTTTATATGTCAAATGGTCTTTCATCTAACAGAAACAAGCTTTAAGTGGTTGATTTTGTGTCAGCTGGAAATAATGAAGTCTCACCAGAATATGACTTAACCAGCAAAAAGTTTATCCTTTAAAATTGATCAAATGATGTAACCCCCGATGACCCAAGCAAAAGACATTGTCACTCAAGTGAATCAACACCTCACTATTGTCATATGATCAGAGAAGTGGAATTTGATTGGCTAAAAGCCACTCGACTTGTTCAAATCTGAATTTGTATGGAGACACAACAACGTTCAATCTCCTCCTCCCAGAATTTACCCTGAGGTTCTGACGCCTGCTGAGTCTAAAACACCTCTCCCACAGCATGATGCTGCTACCCCCGTGCATCACTGTGTGATTATGAGAGGTTTAGACCACAGCTGGCCCAAGGCCACTTTAATATCAGATCCATATCTGACTTTCCTCTTGTTGCCTGAAAGCTGGTCACTTCTCGTCTCCATCACCGATGATGGGGTGGCGGTTTAGGACAGATCTCACTGGTTACAGCCTCGACTCGTTTGGGTCTTAATAAATGTAAACCATTGTTCCCTCTGTTCCTAACACACACACACTCTGAAGTGTTGTTTCTTTTTCTACTGACATGTTAGGCAGCCACCGGGCCGAGTCCAGAGTCTGTACTGACAGAGGAGGCGTCAGCCTCCAGTTCCACACCAGACTCCTCTTCTCAGAGCGCTGCGGTCCTGGAGAAGGAAGCGGGGTCCAGCGAGTCTGTTTCAGTCTCTGATGAGCCGGTTGTCGCTGTCACACCAGAGGAAGAGCCATTGGTAACACATTTAGCAGCCTCCCAGGCCCTGCCAGAAACCAGCTCAGGTGTTTCAGGTAATGATCCCCGTCTCCTCCTGGGTCTGTCTCCGGTTTTTATTCTTACATACAATTACAGAAAGACTTGTGCAGCCAATGCTGCTGTTTCTTCTCTGACCAGGTTCTTTGGCTGCTTCTATTCCAGTCCAAACAGAGACCTACCCTCCGTGTGAAGAGGCAGCTCCTGTGGGAAACGAGGGAGGCTCGGATGGAACAGGTCCAGCAGGACAGGCTTCTACCGACACGAGACCGGCTGAGCCCACAGTGAGCGTAGAGCCGGAGACCGTTCCAGACCCGTCTGCGGAGGAGTTTGTTCCTCTTTCTGAAGACCCGTCATCTCCCGAGACTTCAGACATGCCAACAGGTAGCAGAAATCCTTCATCCCGTGGCTCAGACTGATGAGGATCTGTGAATAATACTAAACATGTTCGTTTTTACAGTTATCATTCTAAACATGGAAGAAAACAAACATTTTTATTGTTTTTTTTTTGGCCTAAACACAATTCACCCAATTACATATTTGATTTTGCACACAGTACCCTCTGAGCCTGAACCTGAGTCCACTGACCTAGGATCAGTTCCTGGGGAGGGGACGCCACCCCCTCCTGCTCAGCAGCCCGCTGCCGAAAACAGCAAAGGTACTGCCAACACCTCGCCTTTAGTTTGGAGGTACAAATGTCCCAACGAGCCGTCAAACCTCAAAAAGCAGTTCTGGATGTCGCCGTTCTGAAGCAGCGTGCGTCGTCTCTGAGAATTCCTCGGGTGTTTTCACTTATTTTCTCTCACTTGGGTTTATTTTTGGTGTTTTTACAGCTTTGTGCCTGCTCTTATTTAAAAAATCTGATGTTATCTTTCATGCTTGTAACTCAATTGTGGCTGCCTCAGTTTGACATATCCAAACAGATTTTTGGTCTTTTTTTTCATCCATCTTATTTTCTTGTGAGAGAAACAATATTTAAACTTGATAAATGTGAAGAAAACAACGTGGATCCCACACCACCCCCCACATGTACCGAGGAAACAGTAGCTGGTGACAGGATGGCAGGATGTGGCTGTACTCTATGTTTAGCTCAGTGTATTATTCAGTCATTGAAATGTTTTCTGTTGGGTTTGCTTTTCGATGTTTCCCTTGATAATGCGGTTTGTGACTGAGATGATGTGTTTTTCTCTCCAGAGGGCTCTGGTTACAAGCCCAACCCAGCTCTCATGGACTTCGGCCAGTCCAGCCCCGAGGACGAAGACCTGTACAGCACTCGCAGCTGAGGGACCACCGCCTCATTCCCACACTGCCGTCGCGTCCAACCATTATGCAGACAAGCAGTCTTAGAAACGCTTTAATCAACGTTTCCATCGTGGTTTCGTCTGCCCACGTTGCCACAGAAAACAGCCAAGAACATTTGCATCTTCGAGTTCTGGTTCAGATGAATGGATGTGTTTGTGTAACAGTGAAAACCTGGAGAAAGAAAAACAACACGTACAGATTTGTGAAACCGTTTCTGTTTGTGTCACAAAAGTAATTGCTGATTGCTTTTGCTGAATCTTTCCAAGTAAAGACCACATGGTGCTCTTATTTATTGTAATGGAGCCCGGTTTGTGGGGACATATGGTGATGGTGGCAGGGATGGACTGGGACTGCGCCATTTTGCCCAGTTGTCTTCACTTGTTGATTAAGAATAAATCCAATTAAAGTCTATTTTTCTTGAACTCACAGCTGGTCTTTTAATTTATCTCCTGTTTACTGAACACCTTATTAAAACTTACATATTAATAAATACCTTTTTTAAATGTCACTCAGAATTATTGACCTCGATCACTTCCTCTCCATCCGGTTTAATACACCCCTGCAGCCGGGAAGATGATGGGTATTTTCCTCTAGACTCATCAGACTGCACAAAGTTTGGCTTAATATGTTCTGGTCCAGTGTCGATTCAGGGAAGCACCTACACCCACTATAAAGGCTAACAGGCTAATGATTTTAGCATTAGTATTTGCCAGTGATGCTAAATTATAATCAAAAGATACATGTGCACATAGTGAAACCAAAAGGTTGATTACCTTTTTAGAGTTTCAGTCACATGGAGGACTGATCCTGCCAGAATTGATCAATGAGAAAATAAGATTAGAAATTGATGATTTTTTTACACATTCAATTATTTAGCTTTTCTGTCCTCATTTATTAATTCAGTTTTATTTGTCCATTTTTTTAAATCTATACACCCATCTACTTCTGGAGCATGCTAAAACATGAATGGGGTTATTTTCTAATCCTGTTTACTGTGCCACGAATTTCACTGATGTCCATGAAATTAAAAGACAGATTAAGTGTTTATTATCGAATGGGGGCAAACGTCATTTTAGGTTTTGTGTGAAAATATGTCCAGGACAATTCGCCAAAGTGACGTGATTGAACCAGAAACAGAAGAATGGCTGAAAGTTTAGCGACGAATCCTTTGTCTGGGAGAGAACCGCCATAAATGTCGTCATGTGGTAGCAGCTAAGCTAGGGGGGAGATTCTGTGGTGATGTCTTCTTTGCAGCGTACCAACATCTGATTTGTAGTCAGGAATTTCACATTTTTACAAGCTGATCAATCAAAGTATGTTCATGGCGACGTGTTTGAAAAGTTTCTTCATTTAAATAAAGTACAGCATATGTGAGATCCACGGCGTAAGGCAAAGCAGATTAGAACATAGCTCTTTAGCCCCGTTGACATTAATTGTTTCCTTCTTCCGAGGGCCCATACCCAACCGGAAAGCGAGGAGACCATATCGTAAAGCGCAGTCATATACGCAGTTTGTGACATGTTTTGCTAACGTGTCAGATTTCCACTCACCGGCAAAAACAGTAGCTTGGCTGACTGTTTATTGTTTGATTTATCCCATAAATACTGATGCTAAAGCTACATGCTAGCATACAGGTGCTGGCCAGTAAATTAGAATATCATCAAAAGGTTGAAAATATTTCAGTAATTCCATTCAAAACGTGAAACTTGTACATTATATTCATGCAATGCACACAGACCAATGTATTTCCAATGTTCATTACATTTAAATTTGATATTCATAAGTGACAACTAATGAAAACTCCAAATTTGGTATCTCAAAAAATTAGAATATTCTGAAAAGGCTGAATATAGAAGACACCTGCTGCCACTCTAATCAGCTGATTTACTCAAAACACCTGCAAAGGCCTTTAAAAGGTCCCTCAGTCTTGTTTTGAAGGTACCACAATCATGGGGAAGACTTCTGACTTAACAGCTGTCCAAAAGACAATCATTGACACCTTGCACAAGGAGGGCAAGACACAAAAGGTGATTGCTAAAGAAGCTGGCTGTTCGCAGAGCTCTGTGTCCAAGCACATTAACAGACAGGCGAAGGGACGGAAAAAATGTGGTAGAAAAAAGTGTACAAGCTCTAGGGATAACCGCACCCTGCAGAGAATTGTGACGACAAACCCATTCAAAAATGTGGGGGAGATCCACAAAGAGTGGACTGCAGCTGGAGTCAGCGCTTCAAGAACCACCACGAGGAGACTCATGAAAGACATGGGATTCAGGTGTCGCATTCCGTGTGTCAAGCCACTCTTGAACAAGAAACAGCGCAAGAAGCGTCTCGCCTGGGCCAAGGACAAAAAGGACTGGACTGATGCTGAGTGGTCCAAAGTTATGTTTTCTGATGAAAGCAAGTTCTGCATTTCCTTTGGAAATCAAGGACCCAGAGTCTGGAGGAAGAGCGGAGAAGCACAGAATCCACGTTGCATGAGGTCCAGTGTAAAGTTTCCACCGTCAGTGATGGTGTGGGGTGCCATGTCATCTGCCGGTGTTGGCCCACTCTGTTTCCTGAGGTCCAGGGTCAATGCAGCCGTCTACCAGGAAGTTTTAGAGCACTTCATGCTTCCTGCTGCTGACCAACTTTATGGGGATGCAGACTTCACCTTTCAACAGGACTTGGCACCTGCACACAGTGCCAAAACCACCAGCACCTGGTTCAAGGACCATGGTATCCCTGTCCTTGATTGGCCAGCAAACTCGCCTGACCTTAACCCCATAGAAAATCTATGGGGTATTGTGAAGCGGAGGATGCAATACGCTAGACCCAACAATGCAGAGGAGCTGAAGACGACTATCAGAGCAACCTGGGCTCTCATAACACCTGAGCAGTGCCACAGACTGATCGAGTCCATGCCACGCCGCATTACTGCAGTTATTGAGGCAAAAGGAGCCCCGACTAAGTATTGAGTGCTATACATGCACATTCTTTTCATGTACATTCTTTTCAGTTGGCCAACATTAGAGAAACAAACATTTTTTCATTGGCCTTTAGAATATTCTAATTTTCTGAGATACCAGATTTGATGTTTTCATTGGTTGTCACCTATAAATATCAAAATTAAACGTAATGAACATCGGAAATACATTGGTCTGTGTGCATTGCATGAATATAATGTACAAGTTTCACGTTTTGAATGGAATTACTGAAATATTTTCAACCTTTTGATGATATTCTAATTTACTGGCCAGCACCTGTAATCCCAACTATGATTTGAAAGAGTTGTTTGAAAGGTCTGACTTAAAGGACACAGTGTTTGTTTATTTGGTGTAAAGACAACTGTTAGTCATTAAAAAGATCTTTCCGAGGAACTGCGTCAACCCAGGAAATGGTGTGTGCTCTCTGAGGTTTCAACTCCACGTGTTTCTGCTTAAACCCGACAATCGCAGAAACCCTCAGAACCCCACAGGGTTACGGTTCCTCAGGAACCCTCTCTACAGGAGTCCATCCAGCATCAGGATTCATGGAACTGTGTGTGTGTGTGTGTGTGTGTGTGTGTGTGTGTGTGTGCATGTTCACATATGTTGTGTAATGAAAAACAAATGTAGTTTTTAAAAAATCACAGATTTATTGGCCTTTTTCTTGTAATCCACAAAGAAAATGACCCAAATGGAAGCCAAGGGGGTAATTCTGTTGTTGTAGTTTTGTTCTGATTAAATAAAGGACTCTGCCGTGTCACAGCGCTAATAAAACCAGACGGAACGCATTGTCTTAGATCAGAACAGAACCCGGAGCGCGGGAATGCTGGACATCTGTTCTTTCTGTTCTTCTCAGATCAGATGGAGGGGTGGACGTGGGTCCGTGTTGAGCTTTCAGATGTGAAAATAACCCCAGCTATTCCACCTCTCCTGAGGGTCCTCGACTCCCTTTCCTGGAGCGTCCCACACAAACAGCAGCTACTGTCATCTTCTCTGTACGACCCAGCCTCTCATGGAGGCCACAGCGCTCTCTCATTTTTCTACTTCTTGACCAACAGAAAGGAAGCGGGGGACGACCCTGACCTTTCACCTTCTAACCCCATGGGGATGGAGGGAGGGTTATGGTCTGTGGTGTTATCTTCTCAGGGCCCCTCACATCCCATAAACACATTAATCATCAGTAACCACAAACATGTGAGCTATGTAAGGGTACATATAATTAAACTTACACATCTAACACATTTCTCTCCTTGTTCTCAGTTATTAAAAATCAGACACCTTTATGTTAATATTGTTTTATTTGATGCACTCCACTTTGAACTGCACCAATCCAGCAACTGCTGCATTTTAAAAACTAGTATTAAAGGTGAATACACCAATATTTGCACAAGAATGATTTTTGTTTTAAACTCTCAGTGACACACTTTGCAGAGGGGGAGGGGGGGGGGGGGGGGTATTTGATTTTTCTTGGTGTCTGGAAAAACCTTCTGCCCCCTTTATTTTGGTCCAAGGTCATTACCGGGCTGGCCCTATTAAACACCTTCTACACCCCTGCTTAGTAGACTTAATGAAGTATTTTTAAGCCAGAATAAAAATGACTGAAACACAAATTTACATATTTGGCATTATTGACCAATATCTTTGATTTAATTTATTTGTTAAGAACATCAAGATGCATTACAGTGAACATTATAATAAAGTACATTTTTCTAGTGCAGAGAGGAGACGACCCATAGAAGCACTGATTTGATCTCATTTCAGAGAAAAACAGAACAGGTCAGATGCACCTAATAAATAAAATTACTAACATAAACTCAGGAATCTGTTGCTTTGCTTCATTGTTCTGGTGCTGAAAATATCACTAATGTGGATCAAAGGAGACACACAGATGAATGCACCTCTTATTTATTATTTGGAACTTAGTGGGCGTGGTTTAACCGGAAGTGGGCGTGGTTTAACTGGAAGTGGGTGTGGTTTACATCAATACATTATTTTAAGTCTGAAATTGATATGGAATGATCGGAAGTTGATATGTGTATTGTTTATTTGAAAACTATTTACAGAGCAGCCTCAGAATTGAGATTAAATATTTTTGATCACAATAGTAAAGGAACTATTACAGAACAACGTTTTTTTCATGCCTCTTAACAGCGTTCTAACATAGCTGTGTATTTTGTGGAGAATTTTTAAAAAGCAACAACAACAAAAACTATTAATGAAGTGGTTTTCTTGCATTTATCTAACAATCTAAGACAGCTTAATCAGAAACTAGTGACTGGACAATCTGGTTGCTGGTCTTAATAAACCACTGCACTTTCAGTGTCCCAGGGACCTTCACTATGCATTCGCGTATTTATCACAGAACACCTCTGGTGTGAGAGGTTCTCTGTTCACTTCACCTTTAGGACAAACTACCAAAAAGAAAAACACCATTTAAAGTCACGGAACAACAAAAGACATTTGGATCTGCGACTGGTGTTGCGCTCTCTGGTTTACTGTGGCAACAGGTGCGTTGCAAGCTTTTCAAAGTGTGGGGGATGTTGTCTGTGCCTAAAATAATTTCATGTTATTCATCTTAGTTTAATTTGCATAATAGCGGAGCAGGTGCGAATTTTAGACGCGTCACGCGCTTTAAACATGTTACTGTTCAGAATACAAAACCAGGCTCTGTCTCGTTAGATTGGTGTAACTAAAGTTTGTACTGAATGAAACTTTACATTAGACCATGTTGAAAAGAAAAGGATCCGATTAAATCGTTTCCCCCTCATTTACAGTCAGGAAGTACAGCTTATACGCGTGGCTCTGGGGTTAATCAAGTTTAGTTGTTTCTCTTTGCAACAGTCTTCACAAGAAGGTAAAACAGTTAAATGGCAGGTTACAGATATTTACATTTGACTTTTATTTTGACGGATAAACTCAAGGATGTTGGTTGTTTTGAAAGAATTGCCCCGACGCACACTGATGCACACACAGATGAGCTGACATTTTAATCGTTACGCACATCGCGGAGGTAACTAAATCAATAAAGAAATGATTCCCATCAGAACATCAGAGATTTATACTGGACATGTGCTCAGCGCGGCTCGGAGCGCCCACGGTGGACAGTGGGCTGAAGATCTGTAGAGGGGTTTGCAGCGCAGTGCAGAACTACAGCGCATGCGGTAAGATTTCCTCCCACTGAAGCGGTCTGGAAAGCCGGTCTCTCTGAGGGATGTGTCACTTGGAAAAATGTTCTCTGATTATGAAACTTTGGTTGAACAGCGCTTGTTCCCGTCTCCAATATGGAGACGCATGACGCATCCAGTCTGAGGCAGAATAGCCTCTTCAGCTCAGAAAGCACCTGTAGAGACATTTGATCATGCACAAAGTTCATGTGGAGCAGAAGCGGTCGGGCCACGGCAGGTGAAACATTCCTAGCCTACATGAAGTGAAAATGTTTAATTGTAACATTAATATGTTACTGGACACACACACACAACACACACACACACACACACACACACACACACACACACACACACACACACACACACACACACACACACACACACACACACACACACACCAATTAAAATAATGCTGACAGCGTGGACTAGAAGCCAGGTGATGTTTAGGTATTTAAATGATGATCAGGCTGCTGTAAAATGTAATCTCCATCCACATCCAGACACAATTATCCTCCATTCTTTCTCTAGTTGCTCTGCTCTTGTCTGGGCTGACGTAGCTGACGGTGCGCGCGGCGCGCCTAACTAGCGGCTGATGCACATTTTACGCATTTGGAGAGGTGGGCTGGATGCTTTGCTTTTACTGGAAGATGGTCCACTTAACGCACGGGTGTAGACTACATATTAATGACAAATGAATGAAAATTAAATTGTGAGTTTTTACTTCATATTTTAGAAATTAAAATGACGGGGGAAAACATTTATGACGTCTTTTTAAACTAACTTTCCTAGCGTGACCTGTCTGCTTCACTTAAGTCACTGCTTATTAAGGTCCGTCCAAAACTACCGTGGCCCACCCAAAAATGAAAACCTGGCGCCGCGCCAGTTATAAACCTCTGCAAATTGTTGTTCTTCACTTTATCAAACTCACACTTTGTACAGCTAATGTCAAGATGTAAAATTATGAATTCAGTCGAGCTCTTCCGTCCCTCCCTCTCCTGCTCTCCTGGAAACCCGACATCGGCTGTCAGAAGCGGAGGTGAAGAAGGAGATGAGGCAAACAGAGTGAGTGCAGCGTAGAGAAACCAGACTGGTGTGGAGGTGAGCAAAACGGCTGGAAAAGTGTGGGTGTTGAAAACGATCTCAATAAGAAAAGTGTGGGTGTTGAATCCCACATCCCCCACGGTGCGACACTCAATCCTCTCCTGCCTTTTCCTTTTCTGTATCTTTGTTATACTGAGTGAGAAAAAGGTAAATAAAAGCTTGATTTTGACATGGATCTTCCTCATATGACTGAGGAAATGTTTTTTTGGGTAATATCTGCTAAAATATTAAGATAAAATATGTGTAAGCCTTTTCTGTGTAGGTTCATACCCGGTGTATTTTCACCACAACAAGCCGAATGTTGGACAACGACCAAACAGGCGGGATTTATGGTGGGAAGCAAATCGATTGGTTGAAGGCCGGTTGCATCAGAGCTTACTGTTATTGGCTCTTGTTCTCCGATTGAGTCATATCACCTGATCGAGCCTTTCATATAATCCACACTACGAAATAGGTAAAAATATGTGTGATTTGTGCTGATATCATATCGGATTGATATCAGTAACTTATCAGAAGTGAAAAAGTTGTATCGGGACATCCCTGCTCATAACGTTCCAACAGAACCTTCATAATGTCAGAACCATCTGGTTTAGCAGATAACGCTGAGTTTTGAATGTGAAACCTGATTTGGAACGTTGGATAAGGTTGGATGTACCTGAGCTGTGGGCCCGTGTAGAAACTTAAAAATACTGTTGAAGTCTTCTGTGCTGCAGAGAAAGGACGCCACAGGCTCGGACATTTTCCCTCTGTTATCTGCTATTTCTGTTGGCCAGCACGACACCATAAACGTCTGTTTTTAGTTGCTGCGTGTCATGACCTTTGGTTCCTGACGGTCTGTGTGTTTATGTTTGCTTTAGCGTGTCTTTCTCTGTGAGGCCTGATTCCAGTTTTAAACTCTCTCACAAGGCTGAGGACCGAGTTCTTCAAGTGAGTTAGATAGTGTTGGGTTAAGGGATGAAGGAATGGGTGTTCTGCATGATTTTGATTGAGATTTCTCTCAGAATCCTCACAGACGTCCAAGACGTTTGAGAACAACTGTGCATACACATCATGCCAGTCGGCGGGACACGTGGTATACAGAATAGTTGGTTTGCAAAGCGTCACGGTTTCATTTGGGCGGTCCTGCATCATGCAGCGCACCCCCGATACTTCACACCTGTTGAGGCTGCAACAATTGAACTCTTCATTGTCGACCTTCACAATCTTGCAGCTTTTCGTCTCGTCTCCATCCTTCATCCTCACTGTCAGCTTTCCCACGGCTGTTAGCACCAGAATGTCACGTCCTGACAGAAGCTCAATGGACCGTGTTGTGCAGACATGTTAACAGTAACATTGAAACGAGCAGCTTCCATGAATGCAAGCCAGGCTACGATTGAGCACATCCACGGACTGAAGCGTAGGCGCGTACGTGCAGACCATGGTGCAGACGCAAGCGCAGGGTGGAACTCCTGCTTCACGCTGCTGATCAAAGGGGCTGTGATGCAATCAGACTGGGTGCTCTGCCTCTCCCTCATCAACTCCCACCAGAGGATCTAATGAAAACCCACTGGAGGGAATCTCTGCTTTCGTTTCCTTCTGCCCTCTCATCTTCACTCCCTGTCCTCCTCCTCATTCATCTTCCACGCTGCTCCTCCCTCCTTTCTCCCTCTGCTCCACTGCCTGGCTGGACTTCCTCTGAGACACAGTAAATATTTCCCATGGCTTACTTGACCGCTCACAGGGCGAACAGGACACACAATCAGAGGTTCAGCTAATTAACAGAAATCCTGCGTGTGTTGGGTCAGAGGTCCCACGGGGGAGCGTTGCTGCAGACCTTAAGGTGTGACACCTCCGCTGGAGCACGTGTCTGCATCCACTGGACGTGCGGATTTGACTCTAACGCACATCTTGACTTCATTTCCTAAAATGTTAGCCTGTTCTAGCAGAAGCTCTGAGAGGGAGGACGAAGCGATGGAAGCGTGATCGGGATGGCTCTTGTCCAGGTGTCGTCCAGCCCCTCTGCAATGATGGAGCTGTGACGTCTAGCAGCTTCCCTGTTGTGTAACCACCAAGGGGCTGCAGGGGGCTATATGAGCCCCCAACCTCGCCTGGGTTCTCAGAGCCTCAAGCCTGTTTGCTTTGTACACAAACTCAGAGGCATGCTAGAGTTCGGGGGAGTCAGCTGGGCAGACTTCTCCTAGAGGAGACAGGACACGGACATGGACTTTAGCCAAGAGAGTCACTGAAAACCAGCTTCACTTTTTGGGCAAAACACATCTCAGGTAAAGTTATCGTGTTTAAATGAGACAGGATACACGACCGTAGGCTTCCTCTGATGTGTAGTCACTTACATTAACCTTCCTACCACTCTCTTGAAGCCACTGCCTGGTTTGATTTGCTGGTATTTATTATTTCCCTTGGTGCGTTCCATTTTCATTTATATTTCTGTGGCTTTTTTTAGGGTTTCTTTCAACCTATTATATCTAAAATGAAGTCCTATCTTTTGTTCCTAATTCATGAATGTTTAATGAATTCAGCCATTGATGCGATGCAGCTTTTTCCCAGGAATCCAGGAGGCAGCCAGATGATTAAAACCCTTTCCAACGCATGGTGTAATGAATTCCTTCTGTGATTATTTATCAAACACGACACGTAATAAGCACCAGAGCCAGTTCAGGATTTTTGCACGAAGAAACGGTTGTCCATAAAAGGCGCCCGTCATCTAAACCCTCACCTGTTTATTTTTTGTTAACAGCTGATCTTGGAAATCTGAGAAAGTCTTTTGACGCAGGAGAACATCCAGCTCTACGATGGCGTTCCCAAACCTCTCCCTCTTCAACACCAGCTCCTCCCCCTTTTCAGCAGCAGAGGTCTATGTGAACGGCACCCCGGCTCCCCTCTGCACAGACTGGCCTCCTTTACCTATTACTACCGTGATCCCCACCATCTACAGCATCATCTGCATGCTGGGAACCATAGCCAATGCCTTGGCGGTGTTCGTGTTGACCTGTGGCAATAACTCGAGGAGGACAGTGGCTGACATTTTCATGCTGAACCTGTGCACCTCTGACATGCTGTTCCTGCTTTCTCTGCCGCTCTGGGCCGTCTACTACTCCCGGGGCTACAGCTGGCCCTTTGGACAAGCAGCCTGCAAGATCTGTGGAGCCATCCTCAACCTCAACCTTTATGCATCCATCTTCTTCATCGCATGCATGAGCATGGACCGCTACCTGGCCATTGTGCATCCTCTCCGCTCGCTGAGTGCACGAGACACCAAACACGCCTGCTTCCTGTGCGTCCTGGTATGGATTCTGGCATGTGCTTGCTCATCTCCCAACCTGGCTCTGAGGAACATTGTACATCTGGAGGGGCTTGATGTGGATGCCTGTGTGATCGCATACCCTGACCGTAGCTGGTTTCTGGCTCTGGTCCTGATGAAGATCCTCCTGGGATTCCTACTTCCTCTGCTTGCCATCTCGTGCTGTTACTGTGCCATCGGGAGACACTTGTGGGCTCATAGAGGCGTGGTGAACATGCAGCCTCCATCACACCTCCCAAACATGCCCTCACAGGAAGGCCACCGTCAACCAGAGCAACCCGCCACTTTCATCGCGAGCTCTGGCGAGGGCCGACCTCAGATGACCAGGAGAGTAGAGAGGATTTTATGGACGGTAGCCGCTGTGGTTCTGGCCTTCTTCCTCTGCTGGTTCCCCTTTTGCTTTGTGACCTTTATATATGTGTTGAACAGTGAAGGGTGGCTCGATGGCTGCTCCATAACCTGGACCCTAAACAACCTCACCCCCCTCACCCTTAGCTTAGGCTTCTCCAACTCCGCCATCAACCCTATTCTCTACTGCTTCATTGGAAATCATTTTCGAGGCCGCCTTGGGGACCTGTGTAAGGGCCTGTGTGCTTGTCTGAAGGCTCGTGGAGAGGAGCACAGCCAGAAGAGAGGCTCCTTCAGCACCAGGCTCAGCTCCTTTTCTCGAAAACTCAGTGACCTGAAGGACCTGGCAATTGTGGAGACCCCTGGTCCCCCCTAGCAGACTTTCCCCCCTTCCAGCTCCAGGAAATGGAGTCTTCCCTCCTATAGTTTTACACCATTTAATCTAAGAATGTCACTGCTGAATACCAGGCTGAGCTCCAGATGCTGAAGGACACAGAGGAGTCCTGGTTTTACGTAACACACACACACACACACGGCACAGTTTAAAGAACACATCACAAACCGAACCGTAAAAGGGACTAATGTAAATGCACATTAAAGGCTAACAGATGTAATGTTTTGGACTATCATGGAGACAAAATAAACAATCAAGAGTTTTAAAAAGTGTTAGCTACCTAAGTTAAGCTGTCACAGTATTTAGAGCTAGCTACATGAAGAGTGTTGCTAGTACGCTTCACACACGTCTTGTAAAGCATTTTAAATGGAAAGCAATGCTACTTGATAAATGTGGAATGCCTAAGCGACACAATTACACAGATTTCTGTCTCGATTCACCCCTCCCCAAACTCAAGGATTAAAGTGGCGCTACAATGCAGTTAATCAAAAGTCTACAACAGAACTTTGAGCCTCTAATAAGAAATGTTCTGTTGGCTTTCGTCTGTCCCAGGAGCTCTGATACTGGCCAGTCTAAAACCCCTAAATCATCCTCGCTGTGAAAAGAGCCGTTTGCTCCTCCCACTCGGCCAGGACATGAATATGATAATGAACTGCTTGCTGATTGGTCGGTTTCCCCAGAAGACCCTACAACACTGGAGATACGCAGGTTTGAGGAGGAATGGCTCCTCCTTATGACGTGTTAAGGAAGGCTTGATCAGAACAGTTTTTCTCTCAACTTTTTCATATTTCTAGTTGACAGAAGTAGGTCACACATGGCTTTGACTTTTTGGCCAGTTACTTTTGACCACCCTAGCTGTCTTTATTCAACATCAGTAATGAAAATGTTGGTTTGCATCCTAGGCCCTCTTTAAGATAACTGTAATGGCCCTAAGGATAACTTAATCAGATATTCTTTCCATGTGTGGAGAGTTAAGAGAATAATGGACTTTCTTGCCACAATATCACAGAGTGAGTGGTGTGTCCAGAGGACAAAGGACCACGTTTGTTGGGTTTGAAGAAATGTTTGACCTTGAGAGGTTTTGCATGATTTCTTGTCTGACTCGGGAATGTTTGTGAATCAGTTTGTTTGTAGCGTATCTTTAAACGGTGAATCACACCCTGGATTGAGTCTTACTTCACCCACACTTAATGTTAGAAAAATGCGCCTAAAGGAGGCATCGCCTGGTGCACCGAGAGAGCAGCACAGAGGTGGTGATTGACAGCACTCCCCTCTACCCCCTCTCATCTATGCTAAGTTAAGCTAACATGTCATGTTTTAGTGTAGTATTTCAAATGAGGGAAAAACAAAACAAGCTAAATGGTGAACCTAGCTTTGGCTGCAGCTAGCTTGATTTAGGTATTTCGTATTAAATTATTATATATGTTGTATTTTATACTGTGACAAAGCTAATTTTCACATAAAGGTTTTATATACTGTGGAAAAACTCAAGATGAGAAGTTCAGGAAATGCTATTAAAAATGAATTTGTGCTACTTTTGTTTAGTCCACGAACACAGGAGATAAGATCCAATCATCAACCAGACATCTCAGTAGGTTTTGCCATGATTATTTTAGTGTGTGTGTGTGTGTGTGTGTGTAAACAAGATATTATCTGTGTAATCACCACAAGTCATTTATTGTAATACTGATGGTTCACATAGCATATATAAAAAGAATATGTCTCATATTTATGGCACGTGCTTGTTTGATGTTTGGAGATTTTGAAAACTGCGGTCCCATTTTGAGATTCATTTTCCCAGTTCCAGCTGTGACTGAGAGCTTCTCACTTGGAAATGAAGAGCGCTGACATTCCCATCCACTCAGCAGATTAACCATTTCTTTTTTACCCCAATCAGTTTCCTCCCATCAAAGATAGATACTATCGTAATCTCAGACTAATGTTCTCATGATGTATTCCGGTCTAGTTCTGGTTGTGTTGGTCGAGGAGGCTGTCAGCTGATCGATGGTCCCTCTGTTGCTGCTTGTGTCCGATATGGATCCACAGCATTCTGTATCGACCCTGAGCTGAAAGCCAAATATGTTTGCTTTAGTGGAACCCGTCTTTGCACTTTTATGTTTTAATTAGACTTGGCTGCGTTCACCTCAACATGTGTGGCTCCACATTAACAGGGCAGCCTTTTTCTTGAATGCTAATCCACATTTGACCACTGGGTGGTGCTAAAACGCTGCGGATGCAGTGATTAAGATGGCTGCATCCTGTGACAGAAGGCCCAAATTCCCACTGCTCATGATCTTTGTGAGACAAAGGAAAACTGGGCTCAGGCACAGATGGATGACTCATGCCGGCTGCAGCTCCGAGGAGGTAAAAGATGAAATGATATCTTCATAAAGAAGTTGAAAAATAAACAGCAGCTTTCAGACATTGTTGAATGTCAGAATCACATCCTAAACCTCTGAGAGGGGTCTTTTTCCTGAAGCTCTAACATGAAAACAAACAAATCTCCACACCTCATGGTGGCAGGTCACTTCACAGCAAGTCACGGCTCCAAAACACTCACCAGACTCTTAATTTGACACAAAACTTTTCCAAGTGACGGGACAGATTGCATGATGTGTTTGTTGCACACACAGCTTCATTAGCCGATTCGTCTGTGTGTGGCAGAGCAGCTGGGAGCTTCCTAAACACATGTTTAACAGAAGATGCAGCGGTGACAAGCAGCTGAGAGCGTTAGTGAATCTGTGGTTAGAGAATGCATGCTGGGAAAGATTTAAAAACCCTTTTAAACAGCAGGCAATAAAGTTTTTACTTTGAAGTGACTTTTCAGGTTGTTTTCATGAGAAGTTTTTAGAAAGTGAAGATGTTCATGTTTTATCTCATGTCGGGTTGTGGGAAGGCCTCACAGCTGGTATGAAGAGGTCAAAAAGACAGAAACCAGTCCTCCGTCACTCAAACTAACAGGCTTTACTAGTTAAACTAACAATGAACGTGGCAAAGTGGAATCTTCAAGTGTTTCTCTCTACAGTAGCTGACCTCTTCTGTCCTGATTAACAATAATACAAAAGTAATAATATTAATTTTGAGGAAATAATTATTTACTAATCATTTAACTGTTTATTTTCTTTTTTGCATGTTTTACTGTCATATAGGGATGAAAATACGCTTTACAAAGAGACTTTCAGTAGCTTAAGTTAAGTAAACTTTAACTTTCTTTTTTATAAGTCCACAGGCAAGGCACACACACACACACATACACACACACACACGCACACACGCACACACACACACACTTATATTGTGATCTATGTGAGGCACCATCACTTCACCACTGAGCATCGCTTACCCTTGTCATACGCAGTGAACAGCTCTTAAGCATAACATAGAAATCTAAACTAAACCTAACTAAAAAAACTAAACTAAACTAAATAAACCAGACTAAACTAAACTAGACAAAAACAAACTAAACCAGACTAAACTAAACTAAACTAAACTAGACAAAAACAAACTAAACCAGACTAAACTAAACTAAACTAAACTAGACAAAAACAAACTAAACCAGACTAAACTAAACTAACTAGACTAAACTAAATAAACCAGACTAAACTAAACTAAACTAAATTAACCAGACTAAACTAAACTAAGTAAACCAGACTAAACTAAACTAAATAAACCAGACTAAACTAAACTAAACCAGACAAAAACAAACTAAACCAGACTAAACTAAACAAACTAGACTAAACAAACTAAAACAGACTAAACTTAAATAAATAAACCAGACAAAAGCAAACTAAACCAGACTAAACTAGACTAAATAAACCAGACATTAGTAAACTAAAACAGACTAAACTAAACTAAATGAATCAGACAAAAACAAACTAAACCAGACTAAACAAACTAAACCAGACTAAACTAAACTAACTAGACTAAACAAACTAAACCAGACTAAACTAACTAGACTAAACAAATTAAAACAGAGTAAACTAAACTAAATAAACCATACAAAAGCAAACTAAACCAGACTAAACTAAATAAACCAGACTAAACTAAACTAAACCAGACTAAACTAATCCAAATCAGATGAAAACAAACTAAACCAGACTAAACTAAACTAACTAGACTAAACAAACTAAACCAGACTAAACTAAACTAAATAAACCAGACTAAACTAAATCAGACAAAAACACACTAAACCAGACTAAACTAAACTAACTAGACTGAACAAACTAAAACAGACTAAACTAAACCAAATAAACCAGACAAAAGCAAACTAAACCAGACTAAACTAAAATAAACCAGACAAAAACAGACTAAACAAACTAAACCAGACTAAACTAAACTAAACTAATAAGACTAAACAAACTAAACCAGACTAAACTAACTAGAATAAACAAATTAAAACAGACTAAACTAAACTAAATAAACTAGACAAAAGCAAACTAAACCAGACTAAACTAAATAAACCATACTAAACTAAACCAGACTAAACAAACTAAACCAGACTAAACTAAATAAACCAGACAAAAGCAAACTAAACCAGACTAAACTAAACTAAACCAGACAAAAACAAACTAAACCAGACTAAACCAAACTAACTAGACTAAACAAACTAAAACAGACTAAACTAAACTAAATAAACCAGACAAAAGCAAACTAAACCAAATAAACCAGACTAAACTAAACTAATCCAAACCAGACAAAAACAAACTAAACCAGACTAAACTTAACTAACTAGACTAAACAAACTAAACCAGACTAAACTAAACTAAATAAACCAGACTAAACTAAATCAGACAAAAACACACTAAACCAGACTAAACTAAACTAACTAGACTGAACAAACTAAAACAGACTAAACTAAACCAAATAAACCAGACAAAAGCAAACTAAACCAGACTAAACTAAACTAAACTGAACCAGACAAAAACAAACTAAACCAGACTAAACTAAACTAACTAGACTAAACAAACTAAAACAGACTAATCTAAATAAAACAGACTAAACTTAACTAGACCAGACTAAACTAAACTAAACCAGACTAAACAAACTAAAACAGACTAAACTAAACTAACTAGACCAAACAAACTAAAACAGTCTAAACTAAACTAACTAGACTGAACAAACTAAAACAGACTAAACTAAACCAAATAAACCAGACAAAAGCAAACTAAACCAGACTAAACTAAACTAAACCAGACGAAAACAAACTAAACCAGACTAAACTAAACTAACTAGACTAAACTAACTAAAACAGACTAATCTAAATAAACCAGACTAAACTAAACTAAACCAGACTAAACTAAACTAAACCAGACTAAACAAACTAAAACAGACTAAACTAAACTAACTAGACCAAACAAACTAAAACAGACTAAACTAAACTAAACCAGACTAAACTAAACTAACTAGACCAAACAAACTAAAACAGTCTAAACTAAACTAACCAGACTCAACAAACTAAACCAGACTAAACTAAATAAAAAAAACTAACCAAACTAAACAAACCAGACTAAACTAAATTAAAAAAAACTAACCAAACTAAACAAACCAGACTAAACAAACTAAACCAGACTAAACTAAACTAACTAGACCAAACGAACTAAAACAGTCTAAACTTAACTAAACCAGACTAAACTAAACACACAATGAAACTTAATATTTGAGCAGCAATGAAAATTTCTGTTTTTTCTTAGATCTAGATTAAAAAAGGTCTCCTCCACACTAACAAAAATGTTCTATATTAATAATTAATGTTTTTATAATAATAATAATAATAATAACTAACCCATATAACACAAATCTGAGCTTTAATGAGCTCAAGTAAAGTTTTAACTAAATGGTGCCTGAAGATGAATCTAAATGCCCACAGAGGTTATTACATTGAAACTGAAACAGGTTTTAACACTTTAACACTGCTTGAGTCTTTTAACGGCCATGTCATTGTGTGAAACAACGCCATCAGACCTCCTACATCGATCCTATTCAAACATTTAAGTATTAATATGTTTAAAGCAAACTCTTTATGTGCAAAGTAACATTTGGATGGAAGGTGATGTTAAAAAATGAAAACATCATTTTCAGAAAGCATCACTGGAAACGCTCTCACAAAATGAAATGATGTGACTTTTATAATTTATTTATTTATTTGACTCTACTGGAAGTTTTTCTTCCTGCACCATTCACCTGCAGCGTGTCGCTGCATTCGCACAACAGTGTTCCTGTGTCAAATAAGCTCGTTTACCACTTGTTTTCATCCCTCTCTTGTGTCTTCTATTGTGGAAAAATTCGGTTAGAATCTTTGAAGTTATTTCCTGTCACAAACACACAATCATTTCCTGAGCGAAGCCACATTTTAGGTGAGTGCATTAGTGCACATGCGTGCGTCTTCTGAAGACGGAGGGAGGCTGCACGCAGGAGATCAGAAAGGTTAGAGGTGATGCAGAGCTGATCTGAAGAGGCTGACACGGAGCAAGCACCAAAAGAGAGGCTGGAGAAACGGCCCGCTAGAAGAGAAGAGAGGGGTTTGCTTGCAGTTTAATGAGAAGTTTAGGGTGAGGAACAGAGAGAAGAGAGAGCTGGCCTTTGGGAAAAGCAGTGATGGAAAAGCTGCAAATCTACCATGGACCCATCGGTAAGGAGGAGGGCGAACGGCGGCTGGGCCAGGACGGGAGAGACGGGTGTTACTTGGTCCGTGACAGCGACTCGGTACCGGGCGTCTTCTGTCTGTGTGTGCTGTGAGTAGGAACACTGATTATGTCACACACACACACGCACACACGCACGCACGCACACACACACACACACACCTTTATTCTGCTCCTCATGAAGCCTCAGAATGGATCTAATCCTGCTTTCTGCCTTTCGGAGCTTATTGATTTCTTTACATTTAGAGCATAAAACTAGTGTATTAGAAGCTTAAGGGTGTGTGTGTGTGTGTGTGTGTGTGTGTGTGTGTGTAGGTGCAGAGGATACGTCTACACCTACAGACTCCACCAGGACGACGCTGGCTCATGGGCTGCAGAAGTGAGAAATCTCATCTTTTCTATAAAGTTATTGTTTTTTTCACACCAGAGATGTGGAGCAGACGCACGTCCGCCTCGCTGCTGTTGCTGTTATTGGGTTAGAAGTTGTTTTGGTGTCACAGTAATTCAACAAGCTGTGGATCTGAGGCAAACATGGTGCCTTCTGTTAATACGTGCTTTCTTTCTGAGATGTGACAGTGTTGAGAAAGGGCTACATTTCTCCTTCGGCAATAACACCTCCTCATTCACACCCACTCTCCCCCCCTTCCCTTCAAATTTAAAGATGCCACAGCATCAGCACGCGTGCCGCAGATGTAAACGGCAGGATTGCATTTGACAGGATTTCTGATGGGATGTGTAACTGAGCGCTGAGGGCTGCAAACACCCTGAGATGGGACCGAGCAGAGACACCTAGTCTAGTCCATCTGCGGACATCAAGTCCCTCGCTCTCTCTGCCCTGCATCACGTGGACCTGCATTACAAGAATTTCACTCACAAGCTCAATAACAAGTTACATTATTCATGCGTAACATCTATCTCGTTAATGAAAGATGGTGTTGGAGGTGACGGAGGTGGTGCCGGTGGCTGCAGACGGGGACGTCCAAACTGCTGCGCTGTGTGTAACGGCCCTCAGTTTGTGATTAAATGATTTTTAAAATGCATTCTAGTACCCCCCCCCCCCCCCCCCCCACACACACACACACACACACACACACTCGCACAGCAAGATTGATAGCACAAAATGAAAACACCTAATATGCTTTGGAAAGGCCTTATCTGACAAAATTACAGCAGATTTGAAGGTGCAATGATTTGGTGATATTAAACGTTAATATGACCGCTGTGGGCAAGCGCGCAAACACACACACACACACACACACACACACACACACACACACACACACACACACACACACACACACACACACACACACACACACCTACAAACAATGCACGGCTCTCTGAAAAGGCTGAAAGTAAAACCAGGAGATGGATCTTTGTGGTTTTTTTTAACCTCTTGAAGGATTTTAAATGTCAGACAATTCCTAAAATAAAGTGTTTTGTTTTGTCGTTAGTGAGAAAACATTAAAACACCCAAGGGAGGGAATGTTTACACAGACATCTTGACTTTTCCAAGTTTGAAATCCCAGGAGTCCAACTTCCATTTTTCTCTTCTGCAGCTGTGGGCACAGTTTATAATTTCATATCCTCCTGGCTGCATCACTTTTTAATCATTAACATCTCTGTTTGTTGTCTTTAACACAAGACCAGTGGTTCAGACGAGTAAACATGTTTTACTTTGTGATGTTTTCATAAGAGGAGCTCGTCCTTCCTCTTTCTTCCTCCCTCCTGTGGGATTAGATGTGGAGATGAAATCTATTCTTCCCCCCTCTTGTGTTGCAGACCACTCCGGGTGTGCAGAAACGGTATTTCCGGCAAGTCAAGAACTTGATAGCAGCTTTCCAGAAGGAAGGACAGGGCATCGCCACCCCTCTGCTGTACCCCATCACCGCTCAGAGCCGGGCGCAGGCCCACGGGAAGCGACAGACGCCCGGTAACAGCCTGTCGCCGACACACAGCGGCCAGACGCCTCCTCTCCAGCAGCGTGCCACACACGTCGCTCAGGGACAGAGAAACAGACCCAAGAAGGACTTTGTCTTCTAACCCAGCTTCTTTCCACCAAACCATCTCCGCACGATTCCTCCTTCTGTATTTTCCACCCGTACTGAAGTAAATGTCACCCTTTTTCCTGCTTTTAGTGACTCACACGTCGCTCTTTCTTGCAGTATTTTCTGCACATGCAGCACAGGAGCTGCATAACTTCAGAGATGTGATGTGAATGATAGAACTGCTGAAGCATTAATATCCATTAATGCAGACGTGAGTCAACAGCAAATATTGTGCTTTGTCTTCTTAATGTAATACAGTGGATTGTTTGTTTTCTGTCTAAAATAAACTATTTTAAATGAGGTCATGCTTACACAGCACACACACACACACACACACACACACACACACACACACACACACACACACACACACACAAGCGTCTGACTGACATAACGTGGAGGGAAATGTTCAATTTGACATATTGAAGTGGTTATTTCCATGGAGAGAACGCTGACTGCTGGACGGGGTGGAGGCGGGGGGGGGGGGGGGGGGGGGGGTCCCTCTGATTGACATGACCGATGAAAAATAAGAGGAAGGGACATGGAAGGGGAGAGGAGAAGGTGAGAAAAACGGCGAGAGCATCCATTCAGCTCAGCTCGATTCTACAGTCCAGCCGTCGCCTAGCAACCGGACCCCTCCATCTTTTTTCACTTCTTTATTTTTTTCCCACTGCAGAGATGAGCTCGGGCTGTTTCTCACAGAGCATATGGTTTAGAAAGAGGAAAAGAGAAGAAGAGGAAGGCACATCGCAGCTGATCATCGACGCGACGCGCGAGTCAGAGACGTAGATCACCTGCTCAGTCAGAACATATGCGTCGTGTGTCTCTGTCGTCCACGGGCCCCGGGAGAAAAACACCACAATTACTGTCGGGCAGATGGTGGAGCGACCGTGGGAGGGAGCTTGGGGGTGAAGGCAGACGGACAGGGAGGTGGATTAGTGGGTTTGCTAGTTTTTAAAAAAGAAAAACTTCTTTACTTTCTGTTTTAACTTTTCCTCCTTTGGTGGGGAGAGGCTTGGAAGTGGCTGGCATGGAGTCTGATTGGCATTTCCTAATGAGAGGAGACAAGCTGTAGAGAAAGGCGCAGCCAACTCCAGGTCCTGCCCCTTCTGCACTCACCACCCACTCGCTGAGCCTCAGCTGTCACATTTCTTTCCCTTCCTCTGAGCCTTTTCTCCCCTCTCTCCTCCTCCTTCTTCTTCTGCTCCTTCTGACAGACGCAGGTTTCTCATGCAGATCTCAGTTTGAGCCGTAATGATGGGCGACGATGGCAGCACAGATTTGAAAGTTGCAAGAAAATCTCCTAGAAATGAGAACAAAGCGGGGCCCAAAAACTGTGTGCAAGGGAAGGCGACAGAGGACACATGGGTGTGTGTGTGTGTGTGTGTGTGCGTAGGGTGTAATAAGCAAACAGCACCTCTAAAATCCCAGGGAGCACTCTGGTAATTCACACAGAATAACTTTAATCAGCTTTGTAACCCAATAAAGTGAGCTTCTTTAGCGAGAATAATTACTATAGCCATGTATAATCTTTGCAAAATGTAACTGCTCTTCTATTGATTAACAATACTGACACTTATGAACAACAGAGCGTCCAGTTGAGCACTTGTTTTCCTCGCTGTGAAAGCACTGGCTATGTACATTCTTGATTTCAGAACACACACTCATACAAACTACAGTTGAAGCACACCAGAGGCGGAAACCACAGCAGGTTTCTTCTCTAAAGGGGAGTGTCAGAGTCATCAAGGCCTCTCTTTCACAACATGTAAACGATAGTATATCCGAGGTAAACCAGATGGGAACTCAAATGGCAACCGGAGAGCTTGTGACGGAGAGGATTATTCACTGCCTTCATCTCCAGCTCGGCGATCGTTGGTGAACAGGGTCCCAAAGTGACGAGGAGTGTCGACACGGCGATTGTCAGTTGGTCAGTCCGCCAGACGGGATAGAAAAAGCGAAGCCACAGCCAAACCACACTGCTTGTGCCACGGTTTAGAAATCGGAGGAAATGGACGATAATAATAAAATACCATCATTTTGTCACAATTAAAGGCATTTGGAAGTTTTTTTTTACCCCCCAGATTCTATTTCTGTTCTCCATCTTCTTTTTTTCAGTAAAGTATAGAAACAGTAGAACAAATCAGAGTAGAGTAGAAACAGGCCGTCTTTGGTGGGATGGTGGGGGGGCTGTCTCTGTGTCTCTGTTACCTGCCCCCCACCTCGCTTAGTGTCATAAAGTGGATGTTGGCGGGGCAGTCGGACAGCTCCGGTTGCTGCTCTACGGGCAGGGAGTAGTAGCCGTCGTAACCCTGAACGCGTCCTTCGCTCAGCAGCTGCTGCTTCTCCGCCTCGCTCCACGCCCGGCTCCCAGCATCCCCCAAATCCAACCTCTTCCTCTCCTTCTCCCAGGCTTCATCCACCGCCCTCTTCCTCGCCTCCTCCATCACCCGCGCCCTCTCCTCCTCCTCTGTACCGCCGTAGCGCACGCACAGGCACAGCGCCCCCTGCTGGAGAGTGATGTCGGCGAAGCGTCGAGTCCTGCCGTTGAGCGTGGCGCTCATCTGTGACACGCTCACGTTCACCCCGCTCTCCAGGACACGTCCCCCGACTCCCAACCCCAGGGCGAGGTCTTCCTCTATAGGACGGGACTGGAGGAAGTGGTGCGTGTCGCAGCCGTGCATGGTGAAGCTCAGCCCGCTCAGGTGGACGGCACCGTTCAAAATGGCTGCCACTCGGCGGCTGTCCTCGCTGGCGACTCCGATGACCTCCGCGCTCACTCGACCGTGAGAGACAGCAAATCGGATGCTGGGGCCGAGGATGGAGGGTCTGGAGCCGAAGGGAGGAGGACGTGAGGGCCGGTGGCACGCCGAGCCCACGGGCTCCGAGACCAGAGGTAAGCGCTCCAGAGAGATGAAGCTCCTCAGCTGCCTCCGCAGTTCACACTGGATCCCCAGAACCATCTGGAAAAACAGAGAACACTCTTATCAAGCCACTGGGAAGCGGAGAACGCCACACTCGTTCATGGCTTCAGCTCTCACTACTTTCTCTGTTTAATTGAATCTGTTATGGGAGCTTCAACAGTGACACCAAAAAGAGGTTGATGACTTTCCAGCTAACCTGTGATAATACATGTGAATATTAATAAAAAAATATTAGTTTACATTAAAAAAAAACTAGATTCTGAATTTCAGACGCTTACAAAAGGGATATTGCCCCCAGAGTTAGATAAGTGGCAGTATTCAGCTAGCTTTAGCTTAGCATACTCACTTTAGGGTGGAATATTCTTTTAAAAAACCATCAGATTCTTAACTAATGACTAAATCAGTTAATCGATTGAGGGCCTAGCTCTGGGATAATGATAATAAATATAATAATAATCTGTTGTTGCAATTCAATAGAAGCACTGAGGTCAGAAAACTGATTAGCCGACAGTTAGCATGTCTGCGCGTCTGTGCGGGACTCTGGCCTCAACTTATATGATGTTCCAAAATGTTAAATGAATTAGAGAGATGGGTAATGATGAGGGAAATAATAAGGAGCATGAATGCATGAGATCATCATAAAAGATATAGTTTCAACAGCATTTTTAATATTTTTTAAATGATTTAAAAGATTCTCACTAAATGTAATATTTTATCATAACGTTAGCATTTTACTTCATAATATATTATTTTTTATATTATTATTATTTTCTTTTTGTTTCAGTTATTTTGTGTCTGATTGTTTCAAAACATTTTAAAACTAAAAAATAAATAAATAAAAGATACCAAACATTTTAAAGAACCAGAATCATGGTATTTATCTATCTATCTATTTATTTATCTATTTATTTATTTATTTATTTATTTATTTATACCATTCTTGATATCTTATAGCAAAAACTGTGACAAGATGAAACATAAGACTGACAAGAATAAACAGGGAATTAAAAATCTGCATCATCTCAACATATGTTGATGTTCTTTGAAGATAAAAACTGACTAAATGTTATTTAGCAAAAACAAGTGTTAAATCTCCTCCAGCCGATCCGTCATAATCTTTCAAATTTCTCCACGTGTTCTCAGTCAAATTTAATTAACCAGCTGAAATTTCTAAACTTTTATTTTTAAACCTCTGAAGGGAATCAGAAAGCCAACAGGGTTGCTGTCATGCTAAAAGGTGAAATTCACCTTTGGAACAATAAAACCTTCGTCCCTGGTCTTTGGCTCGGAGCTGACCACATGTTTAAATATAGAACAAGCAGCAACAGTTTCTTTTGTTGCTGTGAAGCAAAGCCACAATGTCACATTTACAGGCATGCATGTTGTGTTTTATAACCACTCACTGAAGGGATGGTTTGCTCTGGCTCCAGATTTTGTTGTTCATTATGATGAATTATGAATTATTTTGACTAATTTCAAATACTCTGCTTGTCCAAAAAACCCCAACAAATTCAGATGCCCACATAATGGTTCAGCCCCCTACGTGCTTCAGGCTCTCCTCTGATGTGGCAGACTTGTCCCTGCTGATCCAAGCATTTCTTGCTTATTTTACCCCGAGTAAAGCTTGTATGACATTAATTCCCACCAGAGACCACTGCAAATGTATTGATCAAACAAGTTTCCCACACCTTTAAAAGTCAAGGTCACTGAGAAACAATTGTTTACTTGGTCCTTATGAAATATGATATGACTCTGAGTTTAACTGATGCATTAGCCACTGATAGAAAATAAACATGGAAATGCTCGGATTCTAGAAGCCAGTGAGATTCGTCGTAATATTGAGTTAGCGTTCATGGTCTGAGCCATATTGGCTTGCGACGAGGGAGGCTGCCGTTGAACATTTCTATGAACGTATGATGAATGAGAGAGTAGAGCACGTCTCACCTACTAGAAGCTAACTGTTACATTAGCATCTCCACCACACAGCTGAACTCCTCTAGGCTTGTGTTAAGATAAAACATTGCAATGATGCAAATCAAACAGAGTCAGCGGTAGAGTTGTGTTGCTATTAGCCAATCAGAAGTGAGAAGTCCAAATATCAGGAAATAAGATTCCAAATCCTGCTTTCTGAGGCTCATCTCAGCTTTGGCTCACTCCCAGTTCCTGAAACAGCAGTGCCAGAGCTTTTCGCCCTTAGAGATCAACTAACAATTTATGCTACATTTGTTTGTACTGGAGACTACTAGGGACTACTGAAAATGTGTAAACAAGTGAGTTAACTTGGTCTAAGTTCACTCGTTCACTGGCGCACCTGTTTCAGGAAGTAGATGTTAGCTAGAGCAGAGGGGAGCAGAACACAGCAGGATCTGGAGTCTTATTTCCTGATATTCAGATATCTCACTTCTGATTGGATAACAGCAACATGACTCTACCTAATAAATGTTTGCTTTGCAAAATTGATGTACTGTAGTATCTCAATTAACACAATCGTAAAGAAGTTCTGCTGTGTTGTGGAGTTGCTAATGCTAACGGTTAACTTCTACTAGCAGAGACATGCTCTACTCTCGGCTAAATGCTAACAGCCTTTGGCGGTCGCGAGCCAAGATGGGTGAGTCCATGAATGTTAATTCTCAATGTGACCTGGATCTCTGTGGCTTTTTCTCACCCAAGAGTTACCCCGTCTAATTTCTATTGATGACTAGTTAAGGAAATAGGGGTAGAAGGCTATTTTCATGTTTAGCCTGCGTGGTAATCTCTACGTGACTGACCATATTTCAAAAGGAGAAGTAAAAAATGCCGCAAAACTTTACGGTTAGTTTGACCTCAATCTAATCGCCGCACTATCTTCTACATATTTGTACTGTCGGTAACGCTTCCTTTTACAGCCCCCTAATTACTAAGTACTTACATGGTAATTACATGGTAAGTTAAAGTGTATTATTGTGTCATTAAAGTGTATAATTGTAACAAAGTGTAATTACTGTGTAAAGCAGTATTTACTGGAAATTATTAATAAAATAAAAACTAGAATTGAACCTGAGTTACATGGTAATAACTGTTTAAGAACTCAGAAACAATAATACACTTTAACTTACTATGTAATTACCATGTAAGTACTAAGTAATTAGGCGACTGTAAAAGGAAGCGTTACCATACTGTCTCCATTGCCTCGCGGACAACTAAAAAAACCATCTGTGTGGAATGTTGCCTTCCTATGAACAAACACTTTTCCTGGTTTCCTTTGATTAGGATCTCCTTTTCCTTCTGTATTTAGCATGCTTCAGTGGCCTTCGTCTTATTCGGCTACCTTGTTCTGGTGCCATATGCTTTCATTTTCTCAAACAGATGAAATTGTGCTACAAGGAATATTCAGTTTTCTTCATTTTTGTTGTTCCAAACATTTTTAGAAGCTCTGTTGCCCTTATTGAGCTGTTTACTCCGTGGCGTGCTTTGCATTGTGGTGTTTGAACTGAACCAAAGCTTTGTGGTGACAACGCTAGGCTCTGGGGATAATCTTTATTGGCAGGGCCTGAGAAACTGGTCACATTAAAAAGAAAGATGAATGGCACCAAATACCAGATTAATTCTTTGGAAAAAGTTGTTTCATTCTTTCAGGAGAATCGAGGCTGGAATGTAAATTTACCTCTCAGAACAAGAGTGACCCAGAGCTCGCTTTGAAAGCAACACTCGAGTGGTTTGGAGGGCACATTGAAATGTGCTTGTATGGCCCAGTCAGACTGTCTGCAGTGTGTGTGTGTGTGTGTGTGTGTGTGTGCACCTCTGAGAACCATCCATCCTGAAGAAGTTGGAGCAATTTTGTCTCGAGGGATGGGCAAAAATCCCAGTGAGCAAGGGTGCCAAGCTCATACAGCCCAAGAGGACTTGCAGCTGGAGTTTTGAGAAAGGGCTCATTTTTGAGGGAGGTTAATTCTTTAACATTTTTAAATTACCACTGCATGTGCCTTCTATTTTATTTTACAGTAAAGATACTTTTGCACCTACAAAGCTGTGGAGTTGTGTTAATCACATGTAAGCGCCAGACTGGGAAGCCCCGAGGATAAAATAAAGCACCCGGAAGTGTTTGTACTTTTTCATGTCAAGCTGAAAGCGTATAAAACAACATGATTCTGACACAAAGAAGCTGATTATGCCCACATTTGAGATTTGTTAGATGACTACTTCGCTGTTAGCATTGTTAGCTCAGTGTTAGCCTCCAACCTTCTACACTAGAGATGCTGCAATCAGGATTTTTGCTGCTGATCACCGATACCGATCAAATGGATTGGAACTAGATTCTCTTTGTAGTTATGAGTGCTACATGATCTGGGGAAAAGGAACAATAACACTGCCTTACAGCTGCTGTGTTGATGCATTTTAATGAGCTTTCCCTGCAGGTTTACATCACTCTCACAAAAAGACAGGTTGGTATGACCGACTCTGAAAGGCGTTGATCAAAATTCGCCTATCACATGTTTTTCACAGAAATCAGCCAATTTTGATCGGTGGTTGATAAATCAGAACATCCCTATTCTTTACCCAATACAAAAACAAAAGCAAAAATGCCATGGATTCTTCGGGGTACAAGAAATAACCTCTGGGTCGCTCCTGTTACTGGCTGCTGCATTTTACCGGCCAGGTAGCATTACAAATGCGCTGCCGCGTTAGCCGGCGCCGACTCGGCTTACAGGTTGTAAACAAAGACTAAGTACCTCTTTGGCCATTTTGAAAGTAAAGGAGAAAAACTGACCCCCCCCCCCCCCCCCCCCCCCCCCCAGCTGGCGGAAGTACTTGTTCTTCATAATCCTGATTGGTTGGTGCCACCTGGTCACTAGGTACCCTACCCATGGTGCATGATGCGCGTGGGTGGAGCGCCAGCACTGGATGTGACTCGTGGGATCAAATGACATACTAAAATGTCTACTATTACTACTACCACTACTACTACTACTACTACTAATATTTTATTAATCCATTTGGGGAAATTCTTTTGCGTATCATTTCTCAAAAGCACGTGGGAGGTATCTTTTATCCCTATGTCCCATTGAAAGCGGCACACCGCGCCGCACCGCTCTGCAAAAGTTAGGATTGAGTTCTATTTTAGCTGCGAGGTACACGTCAATTTCTGCAGTTATCAAAGGGTTAGAAAGGAAATCACACATGGTTTCAGTGTAAAATCCCTGGTAATTTTCAAAATAAAAGTACTGCAGCAATGTTATTTCAAATATATGTAGCTCACGTGTGAGCCAACGGCTTGTTTACTCCAAGCATTGTTCCAGAAGTGCAGCTGTGTTTTTTTCACAACTTTAATCCTGGCCGTGGAGAGGAACAACATCACATACGCATGACATCAAACAGCGATTTCAAATGTGATTTCCTTCTTTTAAAGGCGGATTGCTCAAACAAAATGTGACCTTTGAAGTCTCGAGGGATGTTGTGATCTCGCGAGTCCAGCGAGGAAGCCGTTTCGTGGTCATTACTCTTGCGGTGTGTAATGGACCGCATGGAAGCTCGTGGGTAAAATGTTCCGCGCCGCTGATGCTTCCATTGTGAAACCTGGGTTAGTGACCCATCAACATGTGGGCTAGTGGGTCCTGTAATCAATAAGTTCTCCTCATTCAGCCACAGCTGCTACTGGGCCACTGAGTTTCACAACCAGAGCCATTGTGGGTGGGTAAGTGATGTGACTTAATTATTCAATTCAAGTTTATTTATAAAGCGCCAAATCACGACAAGAGTCGTCTCAAGGCACTTCACATAATAAACATTCCAATCCAGGTCAGTTCATTAAGCCAATCAGAAATAATGTTTCCTGTATAAGGAACCCAGCAAAATGCATCAAGTCACTGACATTATTAATTATGCAACCCAGAACCCTTTTACCATGGTAACTATTTACCCTAGAACGTCAGAACATCAACATTTATTCAGTCCTTGTTGCCTCACCTACACAGTGAGTCTTTGTTCTGTGGACATCATGAAACCTTCACATAAGAGATCAGCGACCTCAACATGCCAAACCTGGTTATATAAAGGAAATAATGAAGCACGGTGGTCCCTGGGAATGCTGCGAATACTCAATCAATCAGAAGCGTTGAGTGCTCCCTCACCACAACAAAGGCTTCAGGTGGTTTCAAATAAACTTTCCAGCAAGTGACCATTTCTGGCAATGTCAAGGTCAAGGTCACAAGGTCACATTTATTTCTAAAGCACACTTATTATTGCTTCCGCAACCCAAAGTGCTGTACTACACAGAAGATAAAATCGCAAACAAGTATAACTAAAAACCATAAAATCATACAAATCTAAAGTCTGTTGTCACATTGCCCCCACAAGGACATCTGGAAATCCGTGCATAAATGTTGGGTTCATCAACTGAACTGAAACTAAAATTCTTGCAATTTTATTTCTCCAACTAGCGAAGAGAAACACCGGCTCAGTCAGACTCTAGACATGCGTCTGTGTAATAAATGATGGGCCATGAAGTTGGCCTCAGAGTTTTACCTTGCTGGAGTCCCAGTTCTGTGTCTTTGTCTGGGTCTTCATCAGCTCGTATGTTTGCTCCATCCTGCCCACGTCCGGCTTTGGGAAACCAGGGACAACATTATGAAGCTGGAAGCCAAACAGCTGCAGCCAGCTCCCGATGTCTGGACACACACACAGTGTGGAAAAGAAAGAACATTGCATTCAGGAAAAAAGTTCAAACGCACTGTGGATCTTGTGAAGCAAACAGAAAAGTCATAAGGCCAGGTAAGCAGCTCTTCACACAGGAAACACAATCTAGAGCGAAACCTGCAGCAGAGACGGGTCGTTTGGTGCCCCCCCCCCCCAAAAACACACACACACACACACACACACACGCACACTGATTCTTCCTGTAATAAACCATCCTGCAGCAGGAAAACGTGACAGGCCAAACGAATGTGCCATTAGCCAGAAGGACAAACGCCCCCACCGACATTCTGTATTCATCTTCTGCTCTCCTATTCCATCTCCTTCCCTCACCCGAGTCTCTGTTCTGTCTCTTGGGAAAGCGGTGTGTTCTCGGCAGTCAGAGAACCGTGTTAAAAAAAAAACAATGTGGTCAGAGACACGGCTGTCCTTTATGTTGCCTGCACATTCTACGTGTCGTCCCCTTTGACTCAGCTCACCTGTGGTTAACCATGTGCCCCTTTCACTCATCCTTCATGGCAGATGTTTCCCTTGCATGTGTGGGAGTAGGTGTCATTGAGTGAAATATCTACGTCTGTCCTTTGCTCTCTGTCAGTCAGTAACAGATTGTGTGTTGAATGCGAGCGTTAGTGAGTGTGAAGCTCACCTGTGGTGAACTGTGTCACCTCTTCCACTCTACCAACCGGGCAGTTATTCTTGAAAGCATACAGGTTGAACGGCTTCGGTTCTTTGCTCAGCTCTCCCCACAACTCATGGTTTGGCGAAGTCCATCGGCCGGCGAGTGTGTCGTAATCCCGCCTGCCGAGGTGGACGAGTTGTGTGAAGGGATCGTATAAGCCTCCATGGAAGCCGATGACAAGCTGGAAATCAGGATTTGTGTCCTGATACACCTCTCCGTACGGGCTGTAGAGGATCTCTTTGATTAATCGACCCTTGCTAGAGAACACCGCCCTCGGGCTTCCCACGCTGTCACAGGCGACATAATACTCCTCCCCGCTGCTCAGTTCCATGGCAATGAGATGGCCCTGAAGGTCGTAGTACAGCGACGTGATCAGATTGCTGCTGTGGTTGTACAAGTGACTGACCCTGGTGGGGTTTGATAGATCAGCGTAGAAGAACTGCAGCTGTTCGCCCTGGCTGTTCTTGGTGGCGACGCGTCTACCCAGCCCATCGTAGCGGTACCAAACCGAGCGCTCCATCACTCGGTCGAAGACGCGGGTCAACAAGCCATTAGAGTTGTAATCAAACAAGTCATTTGCTCGCTGACGGAGAAAGCCATCGTCATCCACGTTGTATTGAAGCTCGCCGAGGTGTGTGATGCGATCTCGCTGGTCATAGCGCAAAGGTGTCAACCTAGAGTTTGACAAATTAGATGTAGCAACCGTCAGATCAAGCACAATAAAACAGAATCACATGCATACAGAACCAGTGTCCACCCACCTGGTGCTGGTCCCGAGGCTGAGCAGGTTGATGTTACCATTTAGGTCATAACTGTAGCGCCACTGAGGACGCTCGTTGACTGAGGCACTCTGCAGTTGGCTGTCTGCATCATACTCATAAGTGTGGCGTGTCACGTTGCTGTCCACACCGACCCTAATATCACAGGTGGTTGTTCGCCCTGCCGAGTCATACTGAATGGTCATCCAGTACGCGATGGATTTCAGGATCTCATATTGGACCTCTACCACCTGACCGTAGGAGTTGAATACCTTAGTATGCTTCATCAGATGGGTGGTAATCACCTGAGACAGACAAAGACAATCCAAGCATGAGGTGCGAAGTCCAGAACTAAATTTAAAATGGTTTCTAAACATCAAAGCCCCTGCAGATCTTCAAGACGAAATAGTTGAAGTTTTTGGTTTGTTTTTGCTCAACTAGTTTATAACTTTCAGTTTAGGTGTAGAACTTTACTTTTAAATGATGGTCGGACTGTCCTCGACGCCTGGTTTGAATCATTGAGAGGTAACAAACTGAGGAATTGGGAGTGTTAAAGGCACAATTTGGCAGTTTTGCTTGATTTTATCACCCCCTAGTGTCTGTTTAGTTGAACCAAAAGCAAAGCTTATCTCTTTGCTGTGAGTTCGACTTTTCAACACTTTAATCTAAAAGCTAAAATGTCTCCTCAGCCTTCATTAGTGTCTACAGAAGCGGCTCATTACTAAATATAACAAATCAGCTGTGTTCATGACCTAAAACATGCAGGAACCGTACTGTAATGCCAGATTTATACTTCTCTGTCTGCGTTGGTGTGGAGACACGCAACGCCATTATGAATCAGATCAAGGGCTCTCTGACGGGCTAACAGAGGGTGACGGAGACAGACTGGATGAACATCTGTCTAAAGTGAAGGAGACTGGAAGCTTGTTATTGGTCAGGACACTAACCAAAAAGATATTTAGTGGCAGACCCAAAACAGATTGAAGGACGCATCGCGGGAAAAAGTCTGAAAATATGAACGTTTATTTACCCGTTACTGAAGAAGTACAAAATATGGAGCAAACGTGGACGGAAATGATGGGAAACGCGGGTTTAGAGGTGGAGGGGGATGAAAGACTAATTTGTCCGTGTTAAAAACTCTCTGAAATATATAAACACATTAGTAATGCACTATCGTGGACCGGATGCGTGAGTGTAATGGTGGCAGGATACCACAGAAAATCGCTACGCCCTCTGTTGACCTTGCAGGGAATTGCTTTGCAACACTCCGCAGCCTGCGCAGAAGTTCGCATGTTGAAACTTTTCCGACACTCCGTGAGCGTCTCTCCGTTGCGGAACTGACAGAGAAGTATAAATCAGGCTTAAGTCTATCAGACTGGACTGGCACTCTGAAGTTGCAAATGCGGTATTCTGGCCACGAAGGGTGGTGGGAGTCTGAGTGACCTTTCATTGACCCTGTAAAGGACCATTTAACCACATACAGGCTATGAAATTAGATTAAAAATATGAAAAAGTGACATAGTATGGCTTTAAAGCAAAGTTACATCAAAAACAAAGGATAGTGACCCTTAAAGACAATGAAACAATTCCCTCTGTTTTTGGTGAGCAGTAGGCCTGCCTCCCATTAACCTGAGTTAATGGGAGGCAGGCCTCAGCAGATTTATTTTGCTTGGAAACATCACCATCACTTCACCCGATGTCTACGTTCTCCACACATATAGACATGTGTATATAGATGTACAGGTCCTTCTAAAAAATTTGCATATTGTGATAAAGTTCATTATTGTCTGTAATGTACTGATAAACATTAGACTTTCATATATATTAGATTAATTACACACAACTGAAGTAGTTCAAGCCTTTTATTGTTTCTAATATTGATGATTTTGGCGTACAGCTCATGAAAACCCAAAATTCCTATCTCAAAAAATTAGCATATCATGAAAAGGTTCTCTAAACGAGTTATTAACCTAATCATCTGAATCAATTAATTAACTCTAAACACCTGCAAAAGATTCCTGAGGCTTTAAGAACTCCCAGCCTGGTTCATTACTCAAAACCACAATCATGGGCAAGACTGCCGACCTGACTGCTGTCCGGAAGGCCATCACTGACACCCTCAAGCAAGAGGGTAAGACACAGAAAGAAATTTCTGAACGAATAGGCTGTTCCCAGAGTGCTGTATCAAGGCACCTCAGTGGGAAGTCAGGAGATGTTGGAGCACTTCATGCTCCCATCTGCTGAAAAGCTTTATGGAGATGAAGATTTCATTTTTCAGCACGACCTGGCATCTGCTCACAGTGCCAAAACCACTGGTGAATGGTTTACTGACCATGGTATTACTGTGTTCAATTGGCCTGCCAACTCTCCTGACCTGAACCCCGTAGAGAATCTGTGGGAAATTGTGAAGAGGAAGTTGAGAGACGCAAGACCCAACACTCTGGATGAGCTTAAGGCCGCTATCGAAGCATCCTGGGCCTCCATAACACCTCAGCAGTGTGCCACAGGCTGGTTGCCTCCATGCCACGCCGCACTGAAGCAGTCATTTCTGCAAAAGGATTCCCGACCAAGTATTGAGTGCATAACTGAACATAATTATTTGAAGGTTGACTTTTTTTGCATTAAAAACACTTTTCTTTTATTGGTCGGATGAAATATGCTAATTCTTTGAGATAAGAATTTTGGGTTTTCATGAGCTGTACGCCACAATCATCAATATTAGAAACTATAAAAGACTTGCACTACTTCAGTTGTGTGTAATGAATCTAATACATATGAAAGTCTAATGTTTATCAGTACATTACTGGAAATAATGAACTTTATCACAATATGCTAATTTTTTGAGAAGGACCTGTACATGATTCCACACTCAACTCTTAGTTGTGTGATTGAGACCTTGACCCACGCATTGATTCAGATTTTAAGGATTGAATCAAGTTGACGATATCCAGATAGCTAGCTAGTCCCAAATTAGCATTACCCTGGATTGTATGGTGTAGAACTTTAGCGAACTTACATCAAATGAATTTGATTTTGAACAAACAGGGCTGCAGTTCAACTGAAATAGATCTCACTCTTTGAAAAATCAAGTAAAAGTGTTTACTTTTTAGGGGCGTGTCCTCAGATAATTTTCATTATAAAATATTGTATAATAAACCTAATGCAAAAGAACAGCTCTAAGCTTACTCTGTAGTTGCTGCCACCCACCTTCTACTGCAAACCGCTAATTAAACCAGTGAACTTGCACCAAGGACCCATAAAGCCAAAACAACGAGTGAAAGGTGCTAAAAAGCACCCAAGCACTCAGCTGGGAAGAGCTGCAAAGTCAGATAAAAATAATCTTTGTTTTTGTCGCCATGGAGAACGACTTTTATATCACTCAGTAAGTCGGCTCTCTGGTATAATCAAACCATTAATCGGATGAGCTTTAATATATTAACGTTCCATCGAGACACGGTGGCTTCGGATTAAACCAGTTTGCTTCTTACCTGGTTGAGGTCATAGAAGATGACACTGAACTTGCCAAACTGCTCGACCCGACCAGACACATCAACGTAACGGTACAGATCGATGGGCAGAGGGGTTTCGTTGATGACGGCCTGCATGCTGGTGACTCTGAAGCTGTTGTAGCTGTAGTCAAACCTGGCGTTGACCAAGCCTTCTTCGCTGAAGCGGAAGATCTGCCGGCTTGTCAGGGGGCCTAGGAGGAGGCGAGGGTTTCTGTTACTGATATGAACGCTGTGCATTGTTTCACCGGCACATCAGCAAAGAGCCGGACTTATCTGCACACGGAGCCTTTACAATTGGCCTTCACACCACCCATACAAGTGCGCCTAATTAATCCAAATAAAAAGAAAACTAATTCAGCATCAGTAATGTGGTTCGGTCCATTCAATCTCCACTATCCCCACATCACCGTGGCACTTCCACTGGTGACCTTTAATGCGGTGAGATAATGAAATCTAAAGACAATAGCCATGATGAGCCAATGTGCTCCTTAATGTCAGAACATCAACATTAACAACACCCTTCTTCACCTCCGCTGCTGGCTACCGCGGCTCATCCAAAAGGCCTGCTAATGAAACACCATTACGCGGCTATTTGAGATGACTCTGATTGCACTTAAAATGACTAAGTGTCTCGGTTTGGAGCCGCCAGATAGCTGGATCAGCATTACATCTCCTATTTTTATTTTCCCAGGAATGTTGATCGGAAGCCTTTGTTAATGGGAGGCTGGGCGAAGCGCTGGTGGAGGCTTTTCCTCAGCCCTAGGGAGCCGGCCGTCTGCTCGTCTCGCTTCTCTAGCTGTCACTTCTCTGAGCTGTCATCTTTCCTTCCTCTTCTGTTCTTTTTTTGCTCTCACCTACCTCTCTGTATCTCCTTTTGACTTAAAAATTATTTTTTATGGTTCCCTACTTTTCTTTGTCTCCTCTCAAGGGACAATTACTGCTATCGCTATCCACTCTAAGGCTCCGTTTGTTCTGCTGAAATTAGATCAGTTAAAGGAAAGGTGAGAGTCTATTCACGGGGAGGGCAAAGTGATAAACACACACACACACACACACACAGCTGCACCTCACAGATTAGTGACACCTGATCATGGCTCACCAGTCACAAAGGCACGGGAGGTGAACCGGCAGAAGATGAGAGCGCTCTCAGCGACCCTGGACAAACTCCGTAATGTGAAAGAATTGCTGAACTGTATTAACAACGGCAGTAAATATCTGCTGCGACAGCGAAGGGCTTCTATTGATCGTCCTGCCGTAACCTAACGGCAGTGCTGCGTCTTTCAGATGTTATGTGTCGAGGAGGTGAAAGTATCGCTTGGTTCTGTCGGGTTAGTGAAGATTTCAACATTTCCTGTGTTAAACGGACGTAAGAGCTGTTAAATGGTCGCACCCTCACGACTTTTCCACGTCATATCAGCTTCTAATTGCTTGTTTTACTCTGATCGGGCTCCCTGGTTGCAGAGGTGGGAAACAGAGAGCGCAGCCCCGAGCCTGAGGGGAGGGGGCGGTCTCATATTTACAGCTGTGGTAGACCGCAGCCTCTTCCACTTGAACATGCTCGGCCATTTTCACACATCTAACTGTGGCTGCGTCAGCCTCAGATGTAACAGCATCACATCTGACTCAAAGCCAGACTACAGAGTTTAATGCTAGTCGTGAAATCTGGCTTCTTTTCTGAGTGCTGCGAGTGGAGCGAGTGATCCTCGACGGAGGGTTCACCGACACGTGGCTCCTCCTTTCTGCTCTTTAAATCAACCCTTTCATTCTCCAAACATCTTAAATATTTAAGAGTTGTGGCCGCGGGTTTGTTTGGCTCGCGTGTGCAGCTGGGAGCGCAGCGGCGTCAGTACCTGTCTGTCTGTAGCGTATGGAGCTTATGAAGCCGTTATGGGTGAGATGAATGGTCTTGACAGTGCCAGAGGCTTCGTCGTAAGTGAAGGTCACAAGGGTGGAGTCGTAAACCACCTCCGAGAGCTTCGCTGCCGGTGTGTACCTTGATGTATGTGCACAAAAACAGAAAGGAACCCAATAAAACAATTGAAAAATACGTGTAATATTCAGACACAGTCATAAGTAAACATCCTATGCCTGGATGAAGCCAAGATCCCTCGAGCCTCTGGGGAGGAGGCTGCATCGTTCTTCCATATCTCATCAAAATGCGAGCAGCTCCTGTGGCAGTTACGGTGTTTAAATTCTGGAAAATGGGGCCGTTTATCACAACATCGAACCAAAGAGTGTTAAAAATGTTAGAACACAGCCTGAAACTTTAATCATGAATCACGTCTGACACGAGGAGAAGATAAGATGCAATAATAAGATGATCTGACCCTAAATCACCTTCTCATTAGAGCAGTCAGAGTCATTCCAAGCCTGTATTTATAGCCCCCACATGGAGGCAATCGCCTTTATCTTCTCATGTGTTCAACTAACAGAAGCTTAATTAGATCTCGTCCACCGACGTTGCCAGATTTAGCGTCTATGCTGCAGAAACCCACCTGTAGATGACGCTGCGCCCTGTCCCCAAGTACTGGGTCCGGGTGAGCCGCCCGTCCAGCGTGTAGTCCTGCACAAACAGGGCCTGGCTGTCCGGAGGGGTGTAGATGTTCCTGTAGTAGCCGATCGACAGCAGCGACTGCAGGGTGTGCTTCACCATGCTGGGCATCGTCACGGCGACCAGCCGGTCGGTTTGGTCGTAGTCGAAGACGTAGTGCCGCTGGCTGTGCAGGAGCAGGATGATGGACTGCGAGAGAACACAGGAAAGAGGATGGAGACGTCTTCTTTATAACAAGCGTTGCACCTGTTGTCATGAAGCGACGTGTTCTTAGCTACATTACAAGCTGTTTAACTCGGTCTATGAGGAACAAACTAATAAAAGAAAACTACATAATTAGAGCTGCGAGGGTCTCTAAGCACCATTATTCGCTGTTACCTGCCTCGTTTGTCTACACGGTGTTACACATCTGTGCATTTAAACAGCAGTGAAACTATTCATTCTTATTGTCTAGCTGCAGAGCAAAGAAATTCACTAATAAATACAGAAAAAGCTACAAAGTTCTGCACAGATCTGCAACGCGAGCTCTTTCCGACTATAATTATGTCTGAGTCTATCTCCGTTTGAAACGTCTGTCTGAGAATCAGCGACCTTCTGCCTCAACAATGATGCTTCAGTACTTGTCGGTAAAAAAGGACCCTGTGTTAATATTAATTATGTGATTCTTGGTATTATTCAAAGGATGCCGAGCGTTTGGTGTAAAAGCCACTTTCAGGAGACGGATGATTTCTTTTCTCTGCTCTCAGTCTCGGAGCAGCGAGGCCTGATTGAGTTCTGTTCTGTGTCACAAAGAACTTTGACTTCTGGTTCGTTTGAATCTGTGCATGATTGTACTTTGACGTGTGTACTTTGAGAGCACATGGACATTTAGCTTTGTATGTCAAGAAGGTGCTTTTTACAACTTTTTTCGGCTTCGTTTTGCAGAACTGTAAACAGGAAGTGAAGGTCGTCTCACTCGGTCGGCGTAGGTGTAGCTCCAGATCTTGCCATTGACCCAGGCTCTGGACACCACCCTGTCGTTTTCATACTCCAGCTGCTCGGACCAGTCTCCTCGGTGGATGGCCGACAGAAGCCCCCCAGCGGAGTAGCTGATGTTCACTTCGGTGTATTTGCTGCTGGGGGACCAAACCACCGGCCGGCCCAGCGAGTCGTACTGGATGTGGAGGGTGAACTTCCTGTGGTCGTCGTAGATCTTCCCCACTCGGGTGTTCTGATCGAAGTCTATGGAGAGAAGGTTCCTGTTGTGTGCCTGAAGAGGAAGGAGAAGTGTCATCTAGAAGGAGGAGAACCAGCTAAAACTTTATTTTTCTTTGAACTTTACAGCTTTGCAATCGTCCTAAACTCCAAATGAAGCAGCAGGCCTGCAAATATAAATAAGGTGGCATGTCTGAGACTAGCAACGATTTCATTCGCTTAGATAAATTCACCGTGACGTTTAGAGAAAATGCGGCCTGCGTGGTAATAATAATAAATTGCTTTGTGAGTGGAAGGACTGAGAGGAAAATTGAGTCCTGAGGACGGCAAATTAATTAGCACACATCAGACAAAATGTCTGCTTCTTCTGAACTCTTCTGCTCGGTGCTGTGTTGTTGTGAGGAGGAGGAGGAGGAGGTGCTGATTTGTAGAGACCAGTGTTGGGAGTAACGCCGTTTAAGTATAACGGCGTTTCTAACGGCGTTCTTTTATAGGTAACGGAATAATCTAATTAATTACTTTTCCCGCCGTTGCAACGCCGTTACCGTTACTGGGGACGGAAGGATGTGCGTTACTATGTGCTTGT